CATGTAAAAACTTCTTCGACTTCTAGAGCATCCATGTGCTGTCTGATAAAAGGTTAAATGAATAGGCTGCAGTATAAACTTTAACTACATTTTGATATTTTAAAAAACATTGAAAGTATTGAGCCATGAGCCATTGGAGCACCCACAAATCCTGGTTCCTATATTTCCCATAATGCAACCATTGCATCTTACATTACGCCTTTTGTGTCAGGTAAAATGTTTTTGTCTTTTAACACCACAACTGTGGTTCATGACACCGATGCATCATAAAAGTGCAAGTCATAAACTCAAGTTAAGGCTCCCTTGGTGATATCACAGCGGCATCATTAGGGTGCATCATGTGGGCCACAACTACTTTGAATGTTTACTACTAACTGATGAACTGATCATTTCTGTGGGAATCTTTTAGCTCTTCCTTTGCTTTCTGCAGCCTTCTCGCTCTCATGTTCCAATCTGAGCTTTATTATAACTGTAGCTCAGTCTCTTACCTCCAGTGAGATAAATGAGCCTCTTGTACTAAAGCTTACTCTCTGCTGCTCCCCTGGCTGATCTGTTTAGTCTGTTACTGAGAGCCAGTGCTGCACTTTCTGACTGCAGGGCATCAAATGTATTTTGAGAAGCCGCCGTATGCTTAAAGATTCCTGAAATCTAAAATAAAACAATCGAACAGAAGCTGCCATTTATAGTCTTTCCTTTCCTCTTGTTGGATACTTTTATTCTGAAGGGTCCCACTCAGGTAGTTACATTATAGCAATAAGTAGCTACATTTACTTATAAGACTATACTCAATGCCAATATTAAGCTGTTTTGATAGGTTACTTGGAGTGGATAAGATACCCAAATTACTCCCCATTTTTGACTTTTCAAAATAAGAGTTTGAACGCAGAACCAAGCACTACTTCCTAAAATATATTTTACATTTTTTTAAACTAATCTTAAAATAAATAGATAAACATAGCTTCATTAACTGATGCAAATGAATAAATACATCGATAGTGGTATATATATTTTCTATGTTTATTTTGATTACGCCCTCTGTTAATGCCATTAACATGCCAGGCAATGCAAATGAATATTAGAGTGTGTGCCTAAATCTGGCACACACATATTTCTCCATATAATGGGTTCTTATGTTAATTAGTACCTCATGCACTTTTAACATAAAAATAAAAATACATTTGCCTAGCATGCACTAAAATCTTTGCTGCTCATCAGTTGTTTTTGTCCAAAATGCTTGAGTAAAGTTATCAGTGCATGGCTTTTAATTGTCAATAAATACTTTTTGATTCGTATAGTTTCTGTGAAATTATTTAGATACTTCAACTACAACTTGATATACTCATTAAGAGCCGTTAAAGTGGACGGAAACGAGTTAAATTGATCATGTAAACAATGGGATTTGTCGCCCCCTGGCAATCATTACCGGTATGCATTTTCGGCAGGCATTTGCAAATATTTCTACCTTAATTAATCAGGATATTTTAATTAGAACGGACCATGCAGGATTGTTCATAGTCGTCATGTTAAAATCCAAGCCACAGTTTTCCCAGAGTAGTTCCCCACAACGCGTCAAATCAGCTTTAGTTCCCGTGCAAAACTTCCCGCATTCATTTGAATCCTAATTTCACAATTCAACCTGTATAACCCCCCCTCCATTCCTCCCCGTACCGGTTTTCCCGACGTTGCTCGCTCCCAGCACCACAATCTTCACCGTCTTGTTGGGCACGCAGTCCAGCAGGGGGTACTCCGGTATGGGGACCAGCAGAAAGTTGCCAGACCCGCTGCTGTTCATGGTTCCCGGTGCAGGGTCGCCAGTCAGCCGCATTTAGCTCCCCTCTGCCCTCTGCTCAGCCCTGCTCTCACTAGAAAAATAAAAAAACAAATCCCTGGACCCAGAGAGGGGAAAAATTACTCCAGCGCGCACATAATATCTCTGTAGAGAGGACACCGGACCTCCTGAGGTAGCCTGTGGATTATTCACGCTTCTAGCAGCTTTAAACGTGTTGTGAAATTATCATAGAAAAACTATTTTATCCGGGGAAAAAAATCCAAATTATCTTCCAAGTATCCCAGTTCAAAGTTTTCCTCCACTGAGTGAAAAGCTTCGTGGATCCTTTTCACTCACTTCACAAACAGGCATCCCTGCCCTCTTTTGACGCCTGAAACAAATAAAAAAGAGAAAAGGATTCCGATCCGCAGCGATTCCAGATGCCTCTGACTGAGAGCAGAAAGAGGCAGAGAGGGAGGGATGTAGACTTTGAACCGTCCCCTATAATATTCCCGTGAGACCGGTCTAAATCGAGCTCCACTTCCCGGTCTGGAATCAGACATCCTGAAGCTTCTGGGAGCTGATAAAACACGTGATTAGTAAGTAACGAAGCTGCAAAACAAACACGCAGAGCAAGACGAGGCCCTGTGAGCCAAATACTAATATTAATAATAAAAATGTCTCCTTAGCTCATTCACACGTTCTGTGCTTTCATTGTGTTGGAAGACCATTTCTGTATTAATCACGTGACCTTTCCAAGGAGATTTAATTTTTTAACATTTTTGATTTGCACAGATAGACAGATTCAGTTGTAGAACAAAGTTTTGATCGGCATTTTCTCCATTTTAAAAATGTTATGTATTCATTTATTCATGAGAATTTTTAAGCCCTCTACTGTTCACCTGTTTGTTCTTCCATCTTCCCAGAGACTTTATTTTTGCCATTGTTTGCCATATATTTTATCTTCATAGTTGAGTCCAAAATCAAAACCCACTTGCCACCAAGGTGTTACTAATAAACAAATAACCGAGTGAAATGTTTTCTAGGAACCCAAACAAAAAATGTAAAATGTAAAAGTTTTGTAAAAGACATTTTATCAGGTTTAAAACTCATGTAAATACAGCAAAAAGTCAAGAGTTTATCTTAAAATTATTGTAATTTCGGTTCACACCCCTGTCGTAGATTAAAAAAACCATTTTAATACATTTTTGATTGTTAAAGATAGTCGCCATCACATTGAACACTCATTCAGTTTCACACAAGACTTTCAGAAGCTTTTAAAAATGTAAAAATGTACTTTGCCCAACTTTACAATGGTTACACGTGTTTATTTTGTTTGTAATTTCAATATTTCTTTTTAAATCTTTGCGTAAATATACAATTGACGTGATTATTTAAGCTATTAAAAATGCAATAGCTAAGAAAAAGGCTTTTACGATTGTCTGTTTAAAATAGATGTAATACTTTTATTTATAGATTAAGACATAACTGTGACAAATAACTACTCAGAACCACAGAAATGTTTTAATAATATTTTTGATTTTGAAAAGGGTTGAAAATAAGTGCTCGTATTAGATGCTAGCAGTGGAATGTAATGAAAGGCATTTTATTTCATTTTAAACAAAAAACAACCCACACGCTTTTTATTCCTCCAGCGGTTCTGACACAGGAAGCACCGCCCGCCAAATACAGCCTCATGCACAGAATCCAACTAACTTCAGTCCGTCTGAGTTGTGAGTAGGCGACCCTCCCTCTCAGCTTCCCCGAGTGGACGGCAGCGAAGTCAGACGGCGACACTAGAACCGGAAAACCACGGGTGTTTAACCTTCAAAATAAAATAAGAGTGTCAGTAGATTAACTCCTGACAGGATTTTAGTTTTCTTGAGTTGTGAGAAATAATTAGTGTAACTACAATATAAGTTAGTTAACTTGTCTAATTATGTGATTGCATCAAGTTTTGCAAATTTGTTATTCACACATCACTGTTTCAACAGTCGGGACCAAAATTTTAACAAAGAAACACAAACTAACTGGAAACCATAAAACAGCTCCACAACATGATTTTGTCTGCAAGCCTCTCCTTCGTCACTCTCCAAGCCCTCATCCAGATCACTCATTATAGTTCAGTATAGATTTTACAAGTCCACCCTTAAATCACTCTTTATCAAGCTCTTGGTGTAACTATAGTCTGTTTTACAACTTTCATTTTTGGTCTCATTTAAGTCTTCTCTTTCATATTCTAGTTTTTTTTTTTTAATTATTATTCATTTAATAATCAGGATACCTGTGTGAGACAATGTGGGTCAGATGTTATATATTACCAAAACAAACACAAAGTATCCAGAAAATATGAAAAAGTCAAATGTGGCGTATTAGATTTTAGTGGAATTTTTTTCAACTTCTATAAAAAATATCTACTGATGTTGATGCCAGCGGTAAGAGGAGAACAGCCAGACTGCTTCGAGCTGATAATAATGCATAGTAACTCAAGTACCTGTTCATTACAGCCAAAGTATGCAGAAGAGCATCTCTGAACAGCAGCAGAAGACCACACCAGGTGTTACCTTGTCTGATAAATCTCGATGACTGTTGCCATATTTGGATGGTAGCGTCAGAATTTGGTGTAAAGAACATGAAAGCATGGATCCATCCTGCCTTGTGTTAACAGTTCAACCTGGTGATGTGGGTTTAATAGTGTAGCAGGATATTTTCTTGTCACACTTTAGCACCAACTAACAACCATTTAAACACCACAGCCTATCTGAGTGAATCCAACATAAATTTACATTTGTGCATGCAACTCTTGTTTTTAGAAGTCAGGGAAGCTGGAGTGCCCTGATATTATTATGAATGCAATTTGCACTAGTATCTAGCACAATCTCAGTCTTACTATTCTATTTGTTTTTATTATAAATACAATTTTCGCTCCCTCTCACAGCATAAAGCCCCTGCTATGTACCTGTGGCACTCTTACTTTTACTAACTATGGTGGTTATTTCTAGTAGACTGTACCATTTTTTTTATCCTACTACTGTCCTCATTTTCCCTCAATAGAGTCTAGCAGCTAGCTAACTTGATAGCTAGCTAGTACTGTACAATGATAGGAAAAAGAACAGCTCTAAAATACATTATTTAAAGCTTTCAAATGGCCAGTGAAATTCATGCCCAAGAAAAAAAAACAACTTTTGACCACACCTGTAAACCTGCTTAACAGTAAAGGATACGTTAAGCCATTTTATTTTGAAAATCAACCCCCTCCCCGGAAGCTCCCTCTGTCGGTCCGTGTACTCTGACAGGTTTATCAAACAGGGGCAGAAAGCTCTTTCGGAACTCTGCAGCCGCAGCGGCTCTGATTATTTCACCATCGGGGTTCGGTCCAACATGGCGGCTTACGGATGGAAATACTGATGACAGTCCGAAAGATCGCCTCGATTTGTACGATGGTAAGAAGCCGAATCCGGTGCCTTTATCCGCGGGGCGTGAATACGCTGCGCCTCTGTCCGGTCCCCCCTCCCAGGGACGCTAGGCTAGTAGCTGCTCCGCTAGCCTGTTCGCTAACCTCACAGACAGGACAACATAATTAAAAGAAGAAAAAAACATCAGTCAGTCAGGGTTTCTCGGGAAAGTTGTAGAGCCTGCGAGGAGCATCAGTTTACCAGTGCTTATCCTGCACCTCTGTGTGGAAAGAGGGAGAGGAGCTTCACGGGGAAACAAAGCGTGTTTTAACAGCCAGCCTCGGTTTGTTTACGCGGAGAAGGGCGAAAACTAGCTAGCCTAGCATGCTAGCTCTCACGGCAGCAGTCTCTGGACTCGGCTGGATAAAATTTACGGGCCTTCAAAATGACAAAGTTGTTGTTGTACCATTGCGTATGTAAGTCAAAGGTGTGATAGGCAGACAATGGGCGGATGTAAACAGCTCAGCCAGCTGACTGCTGCCTGTTCATGTGTAACTGGTGGAAAATTTCCAGCAGTTCCTGTCATGGGATACACCCTGGATGCCCCCCAACCCCCACCGTGAACCTGCTAATAGTTTGGCTTTACTTCTATAAAAAAATAAAGAAGCCTTCAACAAGGCAGAAGAGTCCGGACAGTTTAAAGGAAACCAAAGTTGTTGGGAGTGACTGTGCATTTTCTTTTTGCTTTTTTTATACCGCCCTCTTTATCAGATCTGGAGCCATGTTTACGTTTGCACATGTAATGCTTTGTAAGGAGTTAAATAAGATTTCCCCAGACACACTCCACTCGTTAAAGAGAAGCTGTAGGTGAAAACGTGAGACATTAACACTGCCTGGTTTCCTGTTAATGTGACCAGCTCTGCGTTTGCTTCAAGCTTAACCTCTGACTGTAACTTGTCCTGTTTGCATGTGCTGCACCTTTCAGAGGAGGACAGATGGTGATACAGATGCTTTGGAGAAGCCTGCTGCAGTCTTTGTCAGTCATTTGTTGTTCCCGTGTGTAAGCTCTTATCCAGTGTTTTGTAACAGCCCAGCATCTACGAGACAGGAAAAAAAAATAGTTTGATTCGTCTCTGCTACCTTTGCGGGCTACGAGGTGCTGGCCGGATGGTGCTTGTTTCCACAGAAAGTTGATTTGGTCGTATGGAAAGTGCGAAAGCCACAAACAAAAGCTGCACAAGCCACAGCGGGGCACGGCCGAATTCAAGCGTTCGTCTGCCTTTGACGTGTGAGGCGGAGGACCTTTGCAGGGTTCAGAGCGTTGGTGTTTCCACAACAGAGCAGTGAAGTGCATCTTTGAAACAAACTGCCTTTGCTTCCATCGAAGGTGGATTTGTATTTTTAAAAGTAGAAGCTTAAATTACTTATTATTTACACATTCACCTGACAAGCAAAAGATCCTCTGGTTTGATCCAAAGAGGGACCATAAATCCCCCTCTGTGGCTGTGCGTCCATTGGGGGGGGGAAAATCAGCCAAATTAACATGCAAGGCTACAGAGGCCTAATTGTGAATAAGGGAGCAGCTGAGAGTAGCACTATGTGGCCAGAGTATCGGGAAATTTCAAAAGAAAAATAATTATTTAATCTAACCTTAACTGAACCAGGATAATATGGTGTGAGATTTAAAAAAAAAAAAAATCCTGTCCAATCCATGGCAGTTGCGTAGACTAGTAACACGCATGAACATGCACACAGCTAAGCTCCACGCGATGAAGCCTAAAACCTCAACAAACAGGGTTAGTAATAACTGAACCAAACTGTAAAGTTTCAGTTTAGTTTACTGAGATTTCAATTAAAAAAAAAGTACCAGGGTTAACCCTGGGTTAGCCTACATCACTATGGTAACAGATAGTTCGAGATTAGAGATTAACAGATATGCCATGACCGCCTGCTGACTTGTCAATAGTAAGTAAATAACGTTACTCGGATTGTTGCACTGTTTGGTAGTACAGGACCCTGGTCCAACTTAAACCACCTTAAAAGTGTATTCAGGGAGAGCAGCTGCTTGAGGTCTAGTAGGTAGATATCGATATATTTGTAGTTCAGTGTGAACTTTGAGGAGAGACAGAAGAAATGAGTCTCGTTGTCACGCTTTATAAGAAAAGATGGGAGCAGATAAAACCCGTTATTACACACTCATTCCCAAAGTTACATTCCGATCAGTCATGCTTACATGCCTGGTCACCACTCAAACACTAATTTTGAGCTGGGAAGATTACAAAAAAAATCCGCAGAAATAAAGGAAAGAAGCTTCATTTTCTTTTAAAACGCAGCAGACGCGGCTCGTCTCGTGGACTCGAGTTATTTCGGAGCACGGGGGCAGGAAAGGGCAGACAGACTAATGCTTTCCTAGCATCCTCCCGACCGATCGTCATGATTAACAAACCCGATCGGTGTCTGACAAAACAGCCACTTAAGAGTTTCCACTCGCGCTGTTTTCTAACAGCCTTTCGTGCTGCCCCGACTTCACTTCAACTTTCATTTCCACCAGTGCAGGAAGTGCAGCTCGTTTCAGAATCGGCATAACCCAAAAAAAGAAAGCACGAGTTAATTAAAATGTGTGATTTCAGAGCACGCTTAGACCGTCTCACTCTGCACGCAGATGTTTGCTGTCGTCTTTGTTTGCCTTTCTGAGATCAGTGAGTTTGTTTTTGTTTACAGCCCCGTGCTGCTCGGGGGTCGTGTTTGTCTGTGACTTTAGAAAGCGTTAGCAGCATCATCATCATCATCATGCCCCTCGCCTCGCACTGTTTCTCCCCGCTGGTGTAATTTAATCCTTGGTTTCTAGCAGGACTGCAGGGTTATATGTCAGTGTTATTCAGAAGTGTTTTTATTGCACTGTCACGTAAACACAGCCCTGCTTTCACATCCACGCTGTGCTACGAATCTGTCAAAATGCACTTCACATAAATGCAGTGCTTCTTTTAAAAAACATTTATTCTACTGCAGCTCAAACACAAAACAAAATCAACAGGGCAGTGCTTTCACTTTGTTATGTTACTTTAAGCTTCTTTGCAGGCTTGCCCTGAGTGGAAGTATAGAAGCAAAATGCACTGCAAAGAAAACAGCTCAGCTCTCAACGGGGGGGGAAAAAGTCATGTTGAATATCTATAATATGATATGGACTGGGTAATGTGTGAGGAATGGAAGGATGCCACATCAGGATCGACCTACAGAAAACTGTGGGGTGGTAGAGTTGTGTAAGGACGTCAGGCTCTCAGGCCACCCTCATGAAGTCTGTTTCTGATTGTTTGGTGAGAGACATTCACATTCTGCTGGAGGTCATTTTGTAGCTCTGGAAGTGCTCATTCTCGCAATGGCCGACCTGGAGGAATAAGACTACCTGTGTGACCTCTGTAGGGTCCAGTTATGGCCTGATGACGATGGGGGTTCAAATTTGATTAATTGTGGGATTAATCAATGTGGGACTAATGTTTCAGTCACGTTAAAGCTATAAAAACAGGGCTACAGCCTCGTTGCAACAATAGAAATCGGTGGTTGCTCAGCAATTGAAAACAGTTCTAGCGACCAGAGGTGTGGAACACCCTCAGCTTGCGGGTCACCACAGTCACAGAGCAGTTGCACAGCAGGTCTCCTGGTTTTAGGCAACTTGTCTCCAAACAGTCAGATTCAGGCAGTCACTCTTGCTGTCTAATTGACAAACACAGCAGTCGGCCTGATTCAGCTGTGCCAGTGCAGTAGTGGGTTTGACTCGACCAGTTTGCAGCTGGTTTTGTTCTGGTTATGCTGCCATGAGCTTGTGTCATTTTTGTGGTTAAGTTGTCGTTGCAGAAGCTACGTCACAATTCGTGGAGGGATTTTTAAAAATGTTTTAAATTTCTGCCTTAAATCTGTGACGTTCCGATCAGACTCGTTTGCACTAGTTTGTTAACTGACGTTAAGTTTTGAGCAGCTGTGACACAATCAGTCCAAGGGTCAACTCGCCCCCGTTCAGTCACAAACTGATGGCAATAAAATAAGACTGCTATCTTGATGAATAAAAGTTGCTTTGACGACCTGGGCGGCCCAGTCTGTGTAACAAATACTTCAGAGGAAACGAGACTGCTAACTTTTTGCACACATTGGGAATAATTGTGGTCATGTCTTTGAGCCTAAAGTCCCGAGTTCTCGGTGTCAAGAAGGCATCTTCTCTTTTTACCTGGCTAGATCGCCATGGTAACTAATGCTGAACACAAACTGGACCGCAGCAGGTTATGTTCAAGTCATGCAACACTATCCCTCTAGATTGACGGAATGTGTTGCCCTCACTTTAGTCAGCTTTCACATTTTGGGTATCAATAAAATTGCTTTTCAGCATGTTTTTAAACGGTTACATATATGTAGATGTGATTAATGGGGCTCGTCAGTGTGCAGAGGAAAATAAAATGCAGAAACCGAGGATGTGAAGTGAAAAACAAAGCTGCAGCAAGCAGATGGCTGAAAGTCCAACAGAGCAGAGAGAAAACAGAGCAGGAAAAACTGGAAACTTTGAGGAGGAAATTAGGACAAAGGAAGTTTTCAATGGATCATTTTTCATTAAAACAAAAACACTGACTGCAAGTTGTTACACATCCAAAATAATATGAAAATGTTCAGGAAAAAATAAATAAAACAGTCATTCTTTTCCTTGTTTTAATTCTTTGCTTGCAGGGCGCCAATGCCTCTGCCTTGGAAAAGGAGATTGGACCGGAACAGTTTCCCGTAAATGAACACTACTTTGGCTTGGTTAATGTAAGTATCTGGTGGTGGCCGTGCACCTGTTTACCTGCTGCAGACTGCAGAGCACAGCCAGCAGCTACTAATCATGTTCGTCTGTTTGAAGATTCACACCGGATGTTTAGTTGTCAGGCCACTTCTTTAGCACTGCTGTGGCTTATTTGGTGTAAACGAGCAGAAAATGTGCCTTCCTCTAAATCCCCTGGCCTTCTCTCTGTTCCTTTTTCTTTCTAGTTTGGAAACACCTGCTACTGTAACTCGGTGCTGCAGGCTCTGTACTTCTGTCGACCGTTCAGGGAGAAGGTGCTGGCGTACAAGGTAAGTAATGAGAGACGAACTGTTGAGATGAAACCTGGTGCCCTGACAGAATGCACACACAGCTAAATGCCATATTGATATGATAGAGAGTTACACGTTTAAGTTTTCATAAAAAGCAGATGTTTAAATTGAGCCAAATCTGGTGCTTGGTTTGTGGTGCAATGGTTCTCATAGGTTTTCATCTTGTATACCATTATAGCCATTTGATAGCCTCAACTTCCTCTTTGAATGTGTTAATTTGAGCTTATTTGAACTCATTTGTATTTGGATCTGGATTTCTTAGAAGCCTTCCTTTACAAATATTGACTTAGTTGCTGCAGGACGGCTATCAAACTGCAAAATTACACCGGGGCTCCACAGCCTTGATTTTATGTAGGACCATAACCAGAATTCAAACAGCTGAGTGAAGTCCTCTATTGCAAAAAGATGTGACGCAAGCAGTGAGTGCCCTCATGAGTGCAGACTGACTAAATTGCACGTTGGCAGTTAATCCCATGAGAGTCTCATGGGCCTGTCCAGAGGTTGCAAGTGTTGTGTACTCCACATCTGGGCAACCAACTACTAAAATTCAGTGAAATCACGGAGCAAACTAGTTGCAAGGAAGTTGTCATCCTCTTTTGACTCTGTTGTGATGGAGCCATAAGATTGCTTAGTTTGTCAACATTTAGAGAGAGTTGGGGAATGGCTGCAATCACAGTAATGTAAGATAGTGAAGGATGTACCCTCCTCGATTCAGAGATGGTCTATCTTGTAAATGGCCTCCTTGCCCCCCCCCGCTCAAACCAGCGTTCCTCTCTGTCCAGAATGTGCACATCCTCATCATTGAAAGATTTAGGTTAACTGACGATTCATTCATTCTTTGCTATAGTTCACATAACCTGACTTCCATAGAGTAGATCAAGTATCAAGGTTCAGGCTAGTGTAGTACCATAAGATAATGTTAAACTATCTCTGAGTTGCTGAGGCCTTTACAGCGTAACGTTGACTATCTCCGTCTTCTTCTCTTCAGGTGCAGCCTCGCCGTAAAGAGTCCCTGCTCACCTGCTTGGCTGACCTGTTCAACAGCATCGCCACACAGAAGAAGAAAGTCGGCGTTATCCCGCCCAAGAAATTCATCTCACGGCTGAGAAAGGAAAATGGTGAGTGACTCTGCATGATGCTGAACTTTGTTTTTTCTTTTTTCAGAAAGAATATTCATTGAGGTCGAACGCTTCGACTCTGCAGCTCTGCCAGATTGTGCAGCTGCTGTTTGTGTACGAAATAAGAAAAAAAAGTCGAAGTAAAATCCGAGACTTTCCTCCGTCAGTCGCTTGTTTTAACCCCACTTCCTCTCACTATTGACGAGCACAGCTGAGGCTGGCGGGGGAGAAAGGGGATGAGGCAGATGGAGTGGGGAAAGGAAAAGAATGAGAGGAAGGGGAGGGTTATCGCAGCTGAAGAAATATAATTGTCAGCCAGATCCTGAAGGGGAAAGCAGATGTAGGAGAAGACGACAGGCTCCTGATTTGCTATATTTCTCATTGCCAGCATTCTGATTGCTCTTTATTCTTTGTTCTCTTTTCTTCTCACGTCTGTTATTTCCTATATTCCTCTTTCCACTTCTCTATTCTCACGCCTCTATATATCTTTATGTTTTCTGTTTATGTTTCGTTCTGCTTGCTATTTTTATTTTGTTCCTCTCAGAGCTGTTTGACAACTACATGCAGCAGGACGCCCACGAATTCCTCAACTACCTTCTCAACACCATCGCTGACCTTCTCCAGGAGGAGAAGAGCCAGGAGCGGCAGCAGAACGGAAAACTGGTTCAGAATGGAGGTGGAGGAGTGGGAGGAGGGGGAGTAGGAGGAGGCAGTAGCGAATCAGGAGGAGGAGGTGGAGAAGTGGAAGGAGGGAAGGAGACGCAGCAGACCTGGGTGCACGAGATCTTCCAAGGAACGCTGACCAACGAGACGCGCTGCCTCAACTGTGAAGCTGTGAGTGGCTCGAGTACTCGGAGTTTGAACTGCAGATCAGTATAAGAAGATGGGCGTGACTTTAAACCTGAATTCTTTTTAATGGTCAATTAAAGTAAAGTCTATGGAGGAACGGCCCTCTCATCCAAATCCTATAGTAGTTACGTTTTCCAGGAAGTCCAGACTGTTCCCTGATTGTTCCCTTGTCAAACAGAGTGTGTATTCTGGAGTGTTTGTGAAGGCCCATGTCTTGTGTATCTGTGACTGCCTCCAGCTGGCTGTAGCACCAAAATCAGTCTCAGCAAATCATATTCTTAATTGTCCAAGTTCAAAGTCAGGCTTTCTTTGTGTTATCTGGTTCTCTAAAACCTGAAACCCCAGTCAGAGATGATGATGGTGTGAAGAAGTATGACGATGGGGGTTATCAAATTTCTGTGTTAAAGCAGGGCTTCCTGTGGGCTCATGTGAAAACCCTTCCCAGGTTATATGACTCTTCTTCTGCACAAAACAATCCCTCCGAGTGTCACGTCCTCCAGTCAGAGACATGATCAGATGACTATAAAATAGTGTCAAATCTCCAAAGAACACGAAACAGAAGAATGCAACAGCATTGCAAATGAGATTAGCACACAGAGGGGCAAAATAAACTTTTGAAGTTAAATATTTTATCACCAAGCTCAGTGCTGCTGTTTATTTGTGATGACTGCAAACTGTTGTGGTTCAATCAGTGGTTTCAGTAAGGTGCAGATTGACAGCTTGCCCATATTAAATAGAATCAATATGACACTTAGAATAAGCTGTAAATAAACAAATCGGTGAAAGCATCACACTTCCAGATGATTTTAACCCAAAAGTCTGGACCTGCGTTCAGTCTATGTTAGCGCGGTGTTTTAAAAGAAGAGCCTGTTGTAACACAGGAAACTCGACCCAGCTCTCAGCAAGCCATTAATCTGGCTTCTAGACTTGACTACAGGTAAAATCTGTGTGAGACACTGAGTATTAATTTTTATCTTAATTTTCCACTTTGCTCGTTTAACCGATCAGGTCATTAATGTCGTTGTCATAACGACACACCATGTGACCTTGGGCGTTCGCCCTTTGCTTTTGTTTCAGGTGAGCAGCAAAGACGAGGACTTCCTGGATCTGTCTGTGGATGTGGAGCAGAACACGTCGATCACGCACTGTCTCAGGTACGCCGAATTTATTAGCGATCAATAAATAAATAAAAGAACGATTAAAGGATGCTGGCTGATCTTAGTGACGGCGTTTGTTTCTGCTCATCAGGGGCTTCAGTAACACAGAGACATTATGCAGTGAATACAAGTATTATTGCGAGCAGTGTCGCAGCAAACAGGAAGCCCAGAAAAGGTGAGTGACATCATCATCACGTGACTTTTCTGATTTTCTTTCATCACCTTTTGTTTTTGCTGCCTTTAAACCAGCTCTGTTACTTGACCTTCAGATAGCACACAGAGCTCTTACCAGGGAACTCTTTCACAAAGGCTTTTCCCCCTGATTGTTAAGTGCATACATTTCATGCTGTAGGATCTGCTGGTCTCAGCAGGTTTTCAGATGGTGCAGAGAAGCTAATGTAAACAGTGAAATCCAGTATGAAAAGGTCTCTGACGGGCCCTAAATTAAAAACAAGTGCCAAAAATGTGTTTCTTTACTTTATTGTGAAGTAAATGAACATTGATGGCATTTCTGATGATGCAGGATGAAAATACTGAACGTTTCGTCAGCTATTGCTGCTCACAGGCAGCAGCATTTCCGAATGTAAGTAACTGCAGGGCCTTTTACATCCTTTATCAATGAGCCGCTGCCATAGACGACATGCTGCCGACGTCGAAGTCTGAACTGTTACCATCAGGTGCCAGCAGCAGCATTACAGTAAAATATTAGTGGCACAGCATTATTTCCAGTGACAAAAGCATAACTTTTAACCACCTGCTTTTCCACCTTATAACCGCGTCAGCTATTTCCAGCCACCGTTTGCGCTTCATGTCATGTGGAGCACGGCTAGCGAGCGTGTCAGCGATGCACTCAAGAGAGTGTGTGTGTGGGCTTGTGTCGTTGTCGTGCAAAAAATCCTACTTGCTTTTTTGCTTTTTTTTTTTTTTTTTTTTGCAGATTATGAGTGTGACAGGCACTCTGGTCACTGCGAGCAGTCATTATGCAGTTCAGTGTGTCCTGAGTGTGTGTGCGTGTGTGTGTTAAGCATATTCAAGATTTCGCTGTAATTTTTTTTCCTTCTGTTTTTGTACACAACCTGTGGCGACTCAAGTACATAAAGCATTTTGTTGACATGGAAAACTCTCGCTGAGGTGGTCGAGTCGGACAGAAAATCATAATTGCAGCTTTTGAAACGCCACGCATTTGTTGAACTTTTAAGAAAAGCTATGTTTGTCACTCATTACTAGACTTTCCATCTTGGCTAAGCTCTGAAATAAACCCAGCACTGATGATAAAGCGGCCTCACAAGCTCACGTATCAAACATGGTGCAGTTATAGGGTTAAAGAAGAGATAAAAGCACATCTCTAGAAACCACAAAACCAACTTGTTCAAAAGTAATTGATGTTGGGAGCCATAACTGCAGTTAAATTTACATTTTAATTAGTTATATTCTTAGTGGTGGTAGAAGCACCTTCAGGCATAATCGGAAGCTCTTGGGGGCATGCTTGAGGTTTTGTTACACGTAAAATTGAAACGTATCAGACAGTCTTTAACCCTCTCGAGGCAGGCGTTGCCAATTTGCAACAGTTAAAAACTAACAACCTGATTACCCCACATACATATTTTATGATTTTTTTTTTTTTTTTTTTTTACTCAGAAGTACCACTGCAGGACTTGGTTGTGCATTAGCAACAAAAAGTTTAATTTGAGCCTGAGAGGGTTAAATAAACTGTAATTTGTTCAGTAAAAATCTAAAACAAGTCACTTTCTTGTTTTTATTCCATCAGAGTTACATCAGTCTATCATCGCTGAAGCATGAGCTCGTGCATGTTATCAGCTGACTCTGTTCACTGCATGATGACCAAACACTGGTTTTCCATGAATACTGATGTTTGAGTTTTGATAAACCCGGCGCTGACGGTGCAGGGCTGTAGTGCTTTGCAGACTGTAGGAGCGGTTATCACAGCCTGTAACTGTCACACAGCTGTAAGTGCAGTACAACCACTTGAAAGTTTCTCTGAGTGGACAAATTTGTTCCATTAGACGGTACCCTACAAACCACATCTGATGTTGCTATAGCAACCATTGCCTTCCTGTTACATTCTGAGAAGTTCGTCATGGGCGTCAGTCTAATGCGAAGTCTATTATTAACTACTGAACAGCAGCTGGACGTCCCTCTGTCAGTGTTGCCCTTTGATATGAGTTTCTTTTTGTCTTCTTCTCTGCTCGCGATGGCGTCCGTCATACGGCGCCACATTTTGTTTGTTTGTTTTGTTTTGTTTTTTTTAAATACGTACCATCAAATGTTTTTGAGAGCCCGCTAAGTGCACCAAGCACCATCCATTAGCTTGAAAGACCCATGCTGACACCAGCGTCTGCAGCGTGCAGAGCAGCACAAACGAAAAAGGTTCTCCCAAATTAGGGGGAGGAACACAAAACGTGCTCCTCGTTCCTGACAGGAGGTCTGTGGACTGGCGTGGAAAGCTTTCAGCCTCTCGGTTTATGTTGGGGAAAGATCGATCGTACTTTTTTGTGTTTCTGCTTTTTGTAATTTCGAAATGAAAAGGTTCTTTTTTCTTTTCTTTTTTTCATCCAACAATTCAGTCTTCAAAGATAAAGATTTTTCTGCTCTGAAATATATATATTTTAAATCAATATTTCTCTCATCTCTCTCACTCAGGATGAGGGTAAAGAAGCTACCCATGATCCTCGCCCTCCACCTAAAGCGCTTTAAATACATGGACCAGCTGCACCGCTACACCAAACTGTCCTATCGCGTTGTCTTCCCCCTGGAGCTCCGCCTCTTCAACACGTCCGGGGACGCAACCAACCCGGATCGTTTGTACGACCTGGTGGCTGTCGTCGTGCACTGTGGCAGGTAGAGTTTATTGTTTTATTTCACTTTAAATTTTTTGTCTTGAACTTGATGTGAATGTTTGCAGCTGCATGAGTGGAAGACGTGCAGTAGAGCACAAACTAGTCTAGTTTGTGTTGTATGGTTAAAAATGAGCAGATCAAGCTTGTAAACAGTCTTGTTGAAATGAGTCATTTAGTCTTCATAACAGTCCGAGGAGCAGACATTGTTCACATTATATGTGAGTAATTTGCTGAATGATTATAAAACCATTTAATACTTATCAGAGTTTTAAGTGTTTCTATATTGCATATAAATAGCACCCCTCCCCCAACCTTTTTTTTATTCTTATTTTTTTTTTAAATTTTGCTCCAACAAACTGCCGACATTTCAGTTTCCAGATCTTTCTTCTGATGTGAACTCTACTTATGAACCAGATGGAAATAAGGCTTCATTTCAGTTTTGTAACCTTTCGTAAGCCGACCTTTATCATCATCCCACTGTGTTTTTGTGAGGGTGTGTCCAGTGAATAATGCGATTGGGCTTTTCCATGTAAAATAACAGAAAGGTTTTTTGTTTTTTTCCCCTTGTCACTCATTAAATCCTCGCTGTTTTCTCAGTCTTTCAATGACCCAGACGTTATACTGATGGTATAAAAGAGAATGTTTAAACATTATTTTCAATTGCAGTTGAAGAAACTGTTCTCAGCCCTGACCTCGCAAACATGGGGAGAACATGCAAAATCCACACAGAAAGACCTCAGCCTGAACTCAGGACCTTCCTGCTGTGCGGCAACGGTGTTAACCACCGTGCTGTTCATTACGCCAAATTTTAAAAGACCGAGATGTCGACCATGTAAACGGTCACCTCAAGGCTTCAAAACACGACTTCAAACACTGATGGATGTCATTATGGTAGCTGTGGTGTGGTCAATCACGTTAAATGCACTTGGTAGTATTACGGTAGTGTCAGATGTTACAATGTAAAACATTTATAATTTGTACTACCCACATCAGCTTTATCGACTGTATGTACCTGATCTAATGTGTTGAGGCTTGGGTTTTCTGTTAACAGCAAAATTTAATTAACACTTCACCTCCAGGGGGCAGCATATCAGTAGATGTTTTCACATAACGCACTGCTATTTAATTTGAGATATTCTTTCTCTCAAGAAGCTGTACTTTATGCTTTAAGCTGCCACTGTGCATAAAAATCAGCTACCTGGTTAAATAAAGGTAACTTTATTTAATTAAGTAACTCATTGCGCCATCTTGTGGTTGAAATTGGCGTTGCCCCAAAGTCCAGCCTAGTTGATCTTCAGTCGATATCTTTGCAACACAGTACACAGATATTTTTGTATTGAGTCACAGCTGCTGTTTACTCACATTTTTATGATGGTTTTAATTGACTTTGGAGTTTTTTAACAGTTTTAAATTTTACAGAAAGTTCTTTTAAACCTGCAATTATGCACTAAATAAAAGGATATGGAAATATGTTTGGAAACATCTGGTTTTAAGTAATTTGTCTCTTGATTCTGTTTCAGAGGACAGAGGGAATATTCCTAAAGTTATTCGGGTTTTTTTAATTAGAAAATACTTTGCTCATTAACTCATTCATCAGATATTTATTGGATAAAGATATAAAGAGGAAATAAGTCCATGTGTCCCTGTAAACACTGCATTGCTGCGGTTCTCCTCGGGCCGCTCGTTGTTTGAATCGGTGTCCATTGGCTCGCTAAGTCCGGTCGGCCGATGAGTTGACGTCAGCTGATGTGTAAGCGAGCATGTGCGAGTCATTAGTCACTCGACTATGTTCCTCCTGCTGATGAGATGTAATCTAACACTGGAGCTTTCCTCAGGAGGACAGACGTCCTGGATAAACACAAAGACTGTCTCGTGCTGTGCTGCGTGTGGATGTGAACATCTTTCTAACAGCAGCGTCGGTTCATCACCGATGTTTTGGTCTCTTTTGACAACGTGAAACAACAAAAAACAGCAAAACATTTTCACAATAAATGATTTTTTTTTTCCAGTTTTTAAAAAATAATCCATCTCTGACTTTGCGAAGAAGAAGAAGAATTTCTTTAAAATTTATAGTATTTATAGGATGAGGAGTTTATGTAGGAGTAGGTAATAATGTTCTTAGACTACACATTTTTCAAATCAGAGCTCATTCTCTTGACAATACTTAGTCAACAGGTAATACTATAGTTTTAAATAGATCTAATTTTCTGTTATTTTTTTATTATCAGTTTGATCTGAAGGTCAATCTATTGACCTTGAAGGAGAGGTCAGAGGTCAAATGTTGCATTTTGTTTTTTTTAAATGTTGACAAAAAAACAGCACACTTACAAGTTATCAGGCTTTTTGTCAGTTTGCCACCAATAAATCATTAAGAAGACCTTGAAGACTTTACTGGATGTAAGCCGAATTGTAATGGATTGTTAACATAACCCTGCTCGACACCCCCACAAAGTTTTATCAGAATTCATTCAAAACTTTTCCAGCTGTCGTGTTTAACACAGAATGACCCACAAACACTACCAAAAACAAAACCACGCTGGCAGTAAGGATGATGAGCATCATCATGACTCTGCTGTCTTATTTCTTAATGCGTCTCTGTGTCTGTGCCCTGCAGCGGTCCAAACCGCGGACACTACATCACCATCGTCAAGAGCCACGGCTTCTGGCTGCTGTTTGACGACGACATCGTAGAGGTGAGAAGCGATCTTCTGCATTTTACAGGAAATCAGACGTCTATAAGTAGCTTTCTCTTTTTTTGTGCTGTTACAGTGGCAGATGCTCACATTAATCGTAGCCAATAAAACTGCAGAGCTGGAAATGATCATAATGAGTCTAACAGACCCCCTTAAAAAGACCAGATCGGTTTAAAGGTGGTAAAACAAGTGTGAACTGTTTAAATTGAGCATCAGCGTTTCAGCTCACATGAGACTGAGCACCCACTGAAAGATTAAAATTCCCATCTCCACATAAGCTTCCCATCTAATCCAATACCAGACAGGAATTCCAGGCTCACAGTCTATCCTGGCTCTCCCGAATGTTTTGTCTGGACTTCCTGCAGCGGGCCGACCTGCATACCTGAGCCTGATGAGGAGCTGAAATTGGGTTTAGCGATGGGGATAAATGATGACGGGTGGATAAAAGTGTCCATTAAGGAAAAAAGATGAGAGATGAGAACATACCTGCTTTTATTGGACATTTATCTTTCTCCTTTCTCGCTCATGGTCACCGTGTACCTTCTCTTAATTGAATCATTACTCATCTCAGTCGTAGTCTTATAAACTGAGATGACCTGCACTTTTTTTACATTACAAATATGAGAGACTGCTTCTCTGTGTGCTCCAGCCCTCATTCCTCCTTTAATTTTCACCGTCTCTGAGCAGGTGGTGCAGACATAGAGGCTGTTATTTTGAACTTTTACACAGCAGCTAATGATTTCACTCCCCCCCCCTCCGATGAGTGTGGTTGTCATGAAATTGCCGTTCTGCTGATTACCCGTGTGCTTCTGCTGCAAAACCATCTGCTTTCCTCTCTGATGTGGCGACAGCGGAGGGAAAACATGGCTGTCTACATAGTAACAACAGTCTGACATCCTTGGAGCGTGATAGTGCTCAGCCCCCGTTAAACGGTTTCCCAGCTCCACTCAGCACGCTGTCATCTCAGTAGCTGACATGTCAGCAAGGAAAAGACGCAGCACTTTAAAAACATTAAATAACATGGTGACACTTTGATGAACCATCAATCCAAACAGGGAGATCTGCCAGCATCTATATCCCTGCCATACAGGGAGTGCAGCTCTGCTAAGTTTGCAGTGTGAGCCGATGGCCTGCTGTAGCTCTTTAGCCACTGGCGGCCCGCCACATCACGCGGCCTAAGCTTCGGCGTGCTGCTGTGTTTCAGCGAAGTAACCTTTCAGTCTGATGTTTTTCTTTCTTGATGCCAGAGGGAAAGGTATGGCACAGCAATCAAACTATCAGCAGCTCGCTGGCTGTGCAGTGGTCACGATGAGGCGTTCCAGAGCTTGCTGACGTTTAGTCTGTAGTTAGTGGTAAACGAGACACTGATCTGCAGATGTACAGTCTCAGCCAGTGTTAGCGTCCTTCATTAATTCTCAAATAACCTACGTCAGGATTAGTTATTTTTATTAACAGTGTTATTTACAAGGAAAAGGCTTATTTTGCTGCGTCCCTAGATGGGATAGGCTTTCTGTCGTGTTCGGAGCCTGCTTATGGGGGGGAGAAAAAGAACTGTGTTTGCAGTAGAAGTTGGTGAGAATGGTCTCTGCATATGTACTGTATTTTGTTTTTGTATGTAACTGTATTCTGTTACAGTTAGTGTTTAAAGAGGTGGTATTTAGAATACAGTTACTTTGAAATAAAGGGATTACACAGCAGTCTTTTCCTGTTTCATATATTAGGCTATGCCCTTTCAGCAGAAATATTTCTGCTGAGAAATATTTTTAAAAATTATTGTTCAGAAAATGATATGAAGGCAGTAGGCAGAGTGTTATAGGCATCGCCCTAAAGAATGTAGCCTCATGGGCAGTGTAGTCCGGTTGTAAGTAAGCTATTAAGACTCGACTACACTATATTTGTGTTTTCCTCCGAATCAATAAGTTCCGTTGGAGCAGCCTTTCAACGCCTCTCTCTGTCTCTCGCTAGCAAAGTTGACCCAGACAACAAAGTAAAGCTAGTTTTTGGCTACGAGCCCGACACGAACCCGACGTATTAGCCAGAGGCCCCTTTGCTACGGTTCAGAGCTGCGGACCTGTTTTATATACGCGCAATAGTTTTCTATACGAGGTCGCTGCAAAAAGTGCAGCCTTACCTAATGTTAACCTACTGTTACTCATTAATATCTATTATCTATTAGTATTTAAAACTCTAGTTGGTATTGGTATGGCGATTAACCTTCAATCCAAAGTAATCCAAAGTATTCAGAATACGTTACTCTCATTGAGTAGCGTAACAGAATACGTTACAAAAAAGATTTTGGGGCATGTAATCTGTAGTGGAATAAGTTTTAAAAGTAACCTTCCCAACACTGTACATCAGTTCCAACTGGATGCTGAATGAATTGGTTCGCGTTAGCCGTTGCAAGACTTTTCTATACAGTTGGATAAGAATAACTGACACTATTGTACGGTGGCTCTGAGAGTTCACATGCACTGCAGCTTAACAAAACACCTACAAATGGAAAAATGCTGCAAAATTACACAAAACACAAGGAAAGTTGGATAAAACACAACAGCATATATAAAAATATATATTTTATATAATATTTTTTTTAAACTTATGTTTGTTGGCTTGACCTACAGCGATGACTTAAAGCCACAAAACTAACTGCAGTTTGTCCTTATTTTTTTTAATTGTGTGTGTGTGTGTGTGTTTGTTTTTAACTTTACCATTGTACAGATTTGTGTAGTTTTCTGTAGCTTCAAGCAGCTTTTTGTGGATATACACACATCCATGTTGTATCACAGTTAATTAGCATAATCGGAGGGAAAAAGTATAAAGTTCTAGTTGTATATAATCATCTGTTTTAAGCTGCTCAGCCTTACTGCCTTATACTAAAGGGGTGGTAGAAAAAGACAGAAAACGAGGCATGTAGGCATCTACAGTCGGGGTGCACTTTATGAGGTGAAACAGTATACTTTAATGCAGTTCAGGACACCTGTGCCCCCAAAATATTCATTTTTATGATGCTTGTAATGTTTGGTTTTTCCTTATATAGTCACACAGGCGTTGATTTGGTTATATTATAGCACGAGAGGTCACAGCTAGTGTTTTAGAAAATACTTTCAAGCATTAGGAGGTCATTTTAAACACACGTGCTCCTCTCTGTGCATTCGCAGTAGCAGTTCAGCCAAATCAAATATCTAACGTACACGTTATTTTCCCAGTTAGAATGGTTTATTTTGCTTTAAATCTCCTCGGCAGTAGGAGACATCACCCTGCTGTTTGCAGGAAAGAGCTCAGTCAGTCATCAGGGACTGATGGTTAAAACTGATATAAACTCCACAGTATTTTTCCACTACAGCGGGACTTCGGCCCGCTCAGACATCTGGTCTGGAAGATTCTGCTGAGTCTGCAGAGAAGAAAAATTAACTTATTTTTTATGGTTTGTGGAGATTTAATCTGCATGCCTCTCTCTGTTTTATATTTTAGCTTGAAGTCTTTTTCTGATAAGTTATTTTGATCCCTTTTTGGCTGCTTGTTTCTGCCATTTGCCTGTTTCCTCGTGGAACTCAAACTTATTTAGTTTTCTACAATTATGACGCCGATATCTTTCACTCCAAAAGTGCAGCTTTTGTTTTCTAGCTCCCATAACTTTACTTAACCCAGAAAACTGCTGGATTGAATAGGAGCCAGACAATATTCATCAATTATCAATATAAGCAAGACTAGATGTGCTTATAATAGGGTATGTTTCAACCACGGTGGAAAATGTAAAACGAATTTTCAGAGACGACATCCAATAACAAAAGATGTAAAAACCCCTAGAAAAGCTTAAGTGACATTCAGAAAACAAGATAAAATGAAGATAAATAAAACAGTACAATAAAATAAATAAATGGTAATTTATTTATTCATTTTGAGAATTGTGCACACAAAACCTTCCATATAAACATATTGTTTCTTCGTTCCTTATTTATGCACACATTTACTAAAATGGCGCAAGTAAATTGATCATTTTAAACTGCACTTTATTAATTCTCACATTTTATGACTGGATCCTCGTAGAAACTCTTCTTCCCACTTGTGCATCTTTGCAGATATATGGATAGTTATTTTGAAGCCTCTGTCCAAATGAATGAGGAGAGGTGCCCTAAAAATCATGGTCAGAAAATGCAAGAAACTATCATTCAAATTATTATTATTTATTTTATTTTTTTTTTAAATGCCTAAAATTAGGTAACTTTGCAGAATAAGTTTCGTAAATATTTTTTTTCCTTTCTTTTTTGTAAGATATATATATTTTTAAAACTGTTATATGACATTGCATTTTCATTTTACGGGGCCGTCGGAATCATTGACGAAGACAAATTCTTGTGCTAAGTTTAATAGACTACAGCTGAGTTTGATTCAGTTTAATAAAATATAAAGTATCAAAGTTTTAACCGGTGAGAGTTACAGCGTCTCATTTGTCCATGTGTATACTCTTGTTTCATCATGGTTTCGGTCCTCTTGTATTAGTTTTTATTTAGTTATTGTCTTTTGTTTATTGGGGGTGTTGGAAACCTATTGGCCAGTGAAGTTAACACTGCTTTGAAAGCAAAAACAAGGAGAACCAGATCCAGGTTATTACTGTATCCTGATACGGGTTCTAACCTCTGTTGTCGTCTTCTCTCGTAGAAAATTGACGCGCAGGCGATCGAAGAGTTCTACGGTCTGACCTCGGACATTTCCAAGAACTCTGAGTCAGGATACATCCTGTTCTACCAGTCGAGAGACTGAACCAAGGCGGTCGTAAGTCCCCAACAGACTGTCACTCAACAGAGGGGGGAGGGGCTTATGGCAGCCACCTGCTCCGCCCTCACTTAAGTATCCAGGCTTATTTCCTGTAGGCGGAGCTGCACTGGAGTGCCACTCGGGACGGGTTGAGACGTGTGCGGCAGGTCTTGTGACAGCCTTCTGGATTACCGTTCAAATCCTCTGTGTCCACACTGCTGCAGCAGAGCACCTTAAAAATATATTTAAAAAAAAACATCCACTAGAACCCCCCCACTCCCCCACCCCCTGGCAGATTCCACAACACTCGCTTTGCACTGTGGGCAGACTGACCAATCCTGACATGTGGAGGACGAGCAGGAGAAGATGATGCGGCATAACCAGCTGTTTTGGGTGCAACTGGTGTCGGGGGGTTAAGGTCCGAGTCGGCCTTTTTTGTGGCTTGTTGCACTGACACGCAACTCCCCCAAAGATTCCTTTAACGTCCCACCTGTCACAGCAAAACCACTGACACTACCTTGTAGTGAGTGAACGGCTTGAATGTGAGCGCGGCGCTTGGATGATAGTTTGCGGTGTTTTGTATAGTGAAGTTTTGCCAATCGCGTCCTGCGCAGTGTTACAGGCGATGGTTGAAATGGAAACCAGCCACCAGGGAGGTGCTGATGGAACTGAAATGTTCCCCACACTCATGAGTAAGGCTCTTTGTTTCAGGTTTAAAATTCTTAACTAAAAAAATAAAGAGAAAAAAGTGAAACCCGTTGACCAAAAGTACAATTTGCAGCTTATATAATTTTTTTAAACAACCCTGTTTAAAGAAAAGAATACTTTGCCACATGTTATATTTTTTAATCCAATCCTTTGGATCACCAACAGTCCTGTTCTAGATTCCAGAGCGTCTAGAGTGTCTAAAGCCACTCGTGGTGCCACAGTGGGGGAGGGAAAAGAGCTCAAAGGAAGTATTTCAACAGCATAAGCTAATTTTTAAAATGCCAGCTTCTCATGGTTTTGACAGCAAGCACACGCTCCTTTGCTCTCGAGGATGTGTTGTTGTAACATGTCTGACTTTTTTAAAGATGCCACAATATGCACATTTGTACTTTTTCTTTTTCTTTTTAAAGGGACGCACTATGAGACTAGTGCTTTTTTTCCCTTTAAGTCAGCTCTGATATCCACTTTACACACTACACGACACGCAGTGTCGAAGTTTGTCGAGTTTGTCTCATGTGCTTATGGATGCCTCTCTGCGCACACACGCCTTTACCCTTCTACAGCTGGTTCATCTCGCAGTTTCAGCCACGCCAATTTTGACTCTGGCTTAAGTGTTTTTCGTGCAGCTGCAGCTCTGGCAGGCAGTCAGGTTTTTACATAACACGTTTTCCACTCCAGAATCGTAAATTGCAGCCTTTGGTAACGCTGAGTGATGCTAAAGGTCTGCGGATGTGATCCGCTGATGCTCGGCTACACGGTTTATTTTATTGCAGTAAGACCGTCTCTTTCGCATGTTTGTCTCGGCCGCTTTTAAATGGCTTCCCCTCCTCAGCATCAACAGCAGCTTCAGCTTTAGGGGCGAAGCATCCTGTGAGATGAGCTGCATCGTGGTTATCTTACTGTTTCTGAAATGCTCATTAAATTGCAGCCTGGGCTAAATTGAGTTACTTGAATGTTAGCGCTACTCTGGGCAGCTGATTGAAGCTAATTAATCAGCTGAGCGTTTAGTGATTCCAGTAAGTAGTGCTTCAAGTGATCACATAACTGGATAATTTTGGGCAGGATTTCTTCTTCCTTAGTTAAAAAAAAGAAAAAAGTAAAACTTGCATATGTAGGTAGGTTAGACAAAAAATGATTAACTGCAGTCTTCCTTTAGAGGGGTAAAAGTGGGTTACATAGTAAAATTCATAAATATAACCACGATTTATGTTTACTTTCTCTCTTCTAATTTCAGATGATATTACAGATGAATGTGTTTGTGTAGATTCTCGGTGATGTTGGTCTTCTCAGCTTTAAGGAAGAAACTGCACTTATTCATGTCTAAAAACAACAACTACTTCCAAAGGGTCGACCCCCCATTAGGGGTTAGAAACCTGAGAGACACCTTTTGCATTTAGAACTTTTTCAAGCTTTCTTTACTACAGATTCATCTTAAAACTGCTGACAGGCTCTGCTGCCGTCTTAGTGGTGCTGAATTCTGATTGGCAAGGCTTCAGTCACACAGGCCTACAGACAGGTCGGTGATTATCTGGTGACCAAAAGTTTATCCTCCAACCAGTTGGCAAGTGGTTGCTTGCTTTTGCCAGGGTACTGCATCCAAAACCTCCAACTTGTGGTCGCTTTATCGATATTTGACTTTAAAGGTCTCGGTTTTCCAGTTTGCGTCACACATTTTGCAGTTGCTGTCGAGTATTTTGAGTCCTTTAATGCAAACTACCGGTCACCATGGCAACCTGCTAGCAACCAAAGAAATCGCAAGGGGGCATTCGGTTCAGCGCCGTATACCTCTTTGGGACCAGTTCCATGCTAGCTACTGAGAGCAAACAACTTGCCAACCCATCTAGGAACATACAATTTTCCCTAGCAACCAGTGGTTGCCAAATGCCGCCAGCTGGTCTCTAGGGCTGTGTGTCCAGTACAGTCACAGAACACAGAAGTGGGGTTTTTTTTCTTCTTTTTTTTTTTTTTTTCTTTCTTGTCCTTAAAATGTCTGAAAGTCCAGCGTCACATCTTCCAGTTGCTTCCAAATAAAACTTTCAGAATATAAGATTTTAAGGGTCACAACATGTTTGACACATTTTCTTGCATACCTGACTGCGTGTTTGAACTCAGGTCTTCAAATTACTGCGTTTCTCTAGTATGATGAAGACCAAATATTTAAAGATCTTAAACTTGCCAACTTTGAGAAACAGAATTAAAACTTACAAACAGGGTTTGATTGAGTTGATCTGAGGAGAAGCAGAAGCCTTTTTAAAGCCTCGGTCTCGCTTTCCAGCTGTGGGTTAACCCTTTCCGCCTCCATTATTTTCTTAATAATTGCACAAACCAAATATAGTTACACTTTTTTTTCTTTTTTTTTAACCCGAGTTTAGTTATTTTGTTGTATATTTTACACTCCTAAGCTGATAAGCCTCCATGCTATCACTCCTTCGTAACAGAGCTACAGCAGATGCAAAGCGGATTTGGAAAAAAAGCTCTATGCAGCCTTTAAGGTGTTTATATTATATAGCTGTTGAGTTTTGAATGTTAACATGTACAGTCAAATTAAAAAAAAAAATAAATAAATAGGGCTGCTGCTTGACCTGTGACATGTGGATTTTGGGTGCATCGCAATACGGTGAAGTCGCTGTCTCCGCTTTTAAAACTGACAAGCACTTTTAAATATTTGTCAGAAAACTTGTCATTTTGTCCTTCAATCGTGCAATTTAGTGAAAGTAACAGCATTCATGCTTGTGGCTGTACAGTGTTTTCACTTTACCACAACCTGGCACAAAGCCCTGACTCCCAGAGGTAAAAAGTAAACAAATGTAAGGGAATTCAGGTTGAGTCTTGAAGGCGTATCACATCCCCCAAAATACTGCAAAGTAATTTTCATTTCTTCAGAGAGTGATTTAAGTGCTCTGAAAAGTGACACTTTTTATCATCATTCAGGTTTTATGTCCGTAACACAGAGCAGCCAAAATATGTTACAAAATAATGTGAGCTTGTGGATTTCGCTCTCTTTGTTGCATAAGCCTTTCTCTTAGTTCTGCCAGCATGAGAAAGTTTAAAGTTGGACGTCGTGCAGCCAGAGCCCTGGCCTTAACCTGCTTTTTCCAACGCATTCTCATCCAGATGCATCCTTTACACACCAGGTGTCCTCTAGCTTTGGTGCTCTAATGCTATAATGGCCATGTTGAACACAAAAGGAAGGAGGAGACCCTGTTTTTCACCCAATATGGACCTTTGTTGCACACTGGTTAGGTTTAGGTGAGATTTAGCCTGTCTAGTTTGCATAAAGTTGCTTTCAGCAGCGCCTATATTATATTTCCTCAGTATAAAGCTGACGTGTGTCTGTTAGCTCCGGATGTTGCAGAATCCTGCAAAATATGGGTTATCCAACCGATCAAGTTATCTTGGTTTCAAGGTAATAGCAATATGACCAATCTAGATCGGGTGGGTAAAGTTAAATCACTGTCAGCCTCTTCCAAAGTCATTCTGTCCATTTATGTTACATAAAACTACAACTACAAACAGTTTAACTCAACAAATACCTCATTTGGCTCAAAGTTCTCAAATCTGTGTAAACGACTGGGAGGAGATCGAGCGACTTCCTTGACGATGCATCCGAAGCACTTCACTCAATGAGTCGAAGGTTCAAAGTCAACACTATATCTCTTTCACGTCTGTGCTGCTCTTTAACTAATCAACTTAAAGGAAGTAATCTACATTAAAGGAAAGTGTTGCGCAATTTTTATGTTTCGTTTTTTCTTGGGGGCTTAGTAGTTTTATAACTTTCGGACATCTGAAGAAAGTCGTTTTTGGCTGCAAATGACTTGAAACACCAACAGAATCTGTGGACTCTTTAAGTTGCGTTCATACATACCAAATGATGTTTATATTGTTTTTATTCCTTTTCTTTTTTTTTTTTAAATAAACAAAGTGTAGGTGTACTCAAGATGTAAATAAACACAGACAAGCACAAAAGCACATTATTAGGGAGATGGAAGTCCACAGATTCAGCTGGAAGCCTTTCTTTTTATTTTAAATATGAGAACCAGAATTCATTGAAACAATGTGTTGGATGCTTATGTTGAAGCAAGGCTCTTTTTATTTAAATATTATTATTATTATTATGAATGTCCATGTTAACGTTTTTTCCTTTGATGTTCTGCATTGTTTTTATTTTTATGTATTTTACTAATTTTGATTGTCTGCTGAGGCAGCTCTGGAAATCTGAGGATTTATTTTGATCTAATTTGGGGAGTGTGAAGTGAGAGATGTGTACATAAATACAGATGTTATTATTGGAATATAAATAATTGCTTGCTTGGAATAATCAACAAATCTAGATCGAGAATATTAGTGTACGTTATCTCTCAAAGATACCTTTCTTATGGTTGATGTCTTCAATCTGCCTGGTGCTTTAAAAATTGCAAACCCCACCCATCTGGCACACCGGGCAGACCAAAACAAACAAACCCAAATATATGGAATGGTCACAATGGAGCTGTGAGTTTATTAACATACACTCACTTTATAGACATTCTCTTATTAGATGTTGGTGTGCAAAAAAATACATGACTGTCCAAAACCTGATATGCGATCACAGTGTTAAAGGAAAAATCCACTTTAGGTTACATAAAGGATTAAAATAAATCAGCAGCTGGTGTTGGTGTTTGTTTCATTTTGTGTTGTCCTGATTGTGTTTGAGTTCTAATGATGATCAATGTTTATAAGAAGACAGAAAAACGACTATACTGGATTGAGAGAAACTGAGGGAGATGGTATATATTAGTATTGAGCTTCAAGTAGTTCCACTGCAAAGGTTTCACTATATTTAACTTTCACATTTACATGCTTGACAGCAGAAATTTATAGATATTGCAGATGCCGTTATTATGTCTAATGCAAAAGTTCTCCACATCTTAGGTAATGTGGAGCTTTTTAGCTAAGATGTGGGAGTGGTTGCTGGAGTTTGCCGGCTGTCGATGGGTGAAATCGGTCACAAAGAGATTATTACACCAAAAACCACTTTGTTATTGCGTTGGGTTTGGCAGATTGCCGTGGTTGCACAAAATATGGCCGTTTATTTGCAATCACTAACTGGAAAAAGTGTGCAACCATTGTTCACCTTGAAAGTTAAAGCTGTGCCTTATGTCCTGAAACTGACATGTTTCCATAAGCAAATCCAGTCAACTTTGAAGATGACCATTCTCCGTTTCACTATCATTCTGCAAATAGTTGGCAAATGTTTGCAAACAAGTTGGCTTCTTCCAACCAAAGCATTTGCAAGAAGTAAAACACCTGTCAAAGTTTTGAAGAAATATCTTAAAAACTTGTATATTTATATTTAATAGGCAGAAAACAAACTGAATTCTTGTTTTTATACTCAAATTTACAGACACGTAAAAATACAGCAGCTGTGGCTTAACCCTTACATTCGGTGGTAGTCTAATAAATTTGTTAAGCACTGTAAAATAAAATGTCATCAGCAAAGAGTGGAAACCTTGGAGCTACACCTTCAATTCCAAGAGTATTAAAATATTGTCAGAAGAAAAGAAGTGGAGAGACAGAGGCCAGTTTTTGCACCCTAAAATATAAAAAGTTCCTTTTAGAGAAATATTTTCATCTGGTCATTTTTATTATTGCTTTTATTGTTTTATAGATTTTATTAATCTAAAATTAAGCATATACGTCAGCGAGTAACAGAAGGCAGCAGTCAAGCATCCCCTGTGTGCTTTTTGAACAGCATTATGGGAAATTGATGAAATGCAACAGCTTTTGTTGGTGTGGGGGAGGAGTCAAAGCACCGACGGACAGCTACAGGTGGATTTTTCCTTTAACAGTTGTCTCTTCAGAGCGTTTGGTCGTCCACATCACTCCCCTTTTCAGTCTCGCCAAATAAATGTGTTTAACCCAGTATGTGACGGACATACAGTGACTGAATGCATCATTAACACTCCTCTAATGTATGTTTTTAGTGTGCAAAGTAGCAGCAGCCTCACCGAGACCAACACTGTTAAAATGAAGGTCAGGTAAACACAAGTAAGGGAATCTGCTTTTTAAATGGTTGCATATTTTTGTACCAGCTGAACACAGGAGGGTTTTTTGTTCATGCAGAGTCTGCGACTACAGACTGATCTGAAGGACCAGTAACCAGGTTGTCCTCTCGGTGTTTGTATTTGTGGGGCTGCTGCTGTCTGACGTTCATTCTGAATCCGTGGAGATGCAGTGAAGTTTGGGAATGACGGCTGGTTCTGATGGTGTCTAAACTGTTCGAAATAAAACACAAACTGGTTTTGATGATAACTCAACTCTGCTCTCAGTCTCTTTCATTGAGAATGTTTGACTATAGCGTCTCGTTTTTTTAAACATACATGCAGAAAATAGGAGGTAATGCAGCTGTGTGAAAAACATAATCGCATCTTTGCTGGTTGAACAGAAATTAAGAGGGTAAGTAGCAGCTAGATGCTCGTAATCTAATGAGTTGGATCTTTTCAGGATGAGTAACTAAAATTGGTTAAGATGGCTCTTTGCTAAGTTGACTGTAATGAGTAGACACAGCAGTGGTCCATTAGGAGACCTTTCATGCTTCGTAGATCAGTGTTTAAGAGATAAATAAATGTATTACTCTGAAAATGGTCAGGTACAAGGACTGGACTGGAAATGGGTAACAAAGCAGGTCCAAAGAGAACTCTTAACAGACCTTCAGAAAGCCTGCGAACTGATGCCCAAGACCACTTTAAAAAAATTACAAGACAGTCTGGCTCCTTGGAAGCAAAAAATGCAGAAATGAGAGGTTGCTCGAGTGCTCTACAAGCGCTGTCCATATTTAAAGTCGATATAAATGGAGGATTCTGATGATGTGGTTTTAAAAAAACTAAAAACGGATGCACAGTGAAAAACTTGAAAAATTAAAAAATAAATAAATTCCACTGAAGTATTTAAGAAAAAGATGCTTGAAAGGTTAAAGGGACTATTTATTTTTAAAAAAAAGCTTTTGCTGTAGAAGCTCAGAAAACAACTATTTACCTGCAATCAGCTGTTTGTGCCAGTCTACCGTGACTGTCATCATTCCTGCCAAAATATTAGGCGCATTTTGATTGAACTGCAGTTTGTTTAATATTTGTACTTGTTGCTGTACAAAATTAACCTCCTGAGACTTGAGGTTGTTTGTTGCCTGCTTGAGAGGCATATTTGTCCTCTCTCTCTATTTGGACAGTTGGACCTGGTACATGTAAAGAAAAAAAGTGTCCTAATATGAGGGGATTGGGTTTATTTTGCAGCGTAGCACAATAAAGTCAGTATTGTATAACACTGTTTTAGAAAAAGGTGCAGAAACCCTAAAACGTCTGAAAACGGTGTGAATATAAATTATTTCACATTTTAAACCCTTCCCCCCCTTTTATAACTTAAAAAAAACCACAAAAACTTAAGCTTCCCTCTCTGGGTTAAAGCCCATAGCTCATCTTCACTCAGCTGCCACAACCAGCAATTTCTGCAACCTCAGTTTTCCTGAAAGTGTGCTTCAAGTTAAGGAGCCGTGAGCCAGAAAAGCAGAGAACCGCTACTTCAAGTTAACACAGCATCGGCAGACAGCTGGATGGTCCAGGATCCACAGTGACGCAGTTTACAAACCTGATATTTTGTGCTGAAAGTCAAGTTATGCAAACATATAAAACTGAGGATACTGGTTGACTGCAGGCATTTCGTAAAAAAAAAGAAGAGAGCTCTCCAGTTTTTAAATGGAAGCTGAAAAGCTTTCTGCCTGCCTATTCTGTGTGAGATCATCCACCCCTGGAGGCTTTTTTGTCTCCTGACATTATTGCACTTAAGATGCTTGTCCCGATGCCAAAAGCATGACCGCACTCCAGCTCCGAGAAGCCGCTGAAGCGGCGCACTGACTCAGTGCGTTTATCCCACTCCTCTAGCTGCACCGTGAGCAGTAAACAATGACACAGGAGGCAGTTTGACATTTAATTCTCTGCAGGTAGGTGGTACATTCTCAAACAGCAGGTTCACACAAACACTGATGGATTTTACAACAATACAGAAAAAGAAATGCCTCGTTTCTTTTACAGGGACAGAAAAAAAAATGATACATTCACCTGCTGAGGGTGAAGGACGGAGTGCACAAGTCCAGAAATCAGAACCGGATACAAAAACGACAACAAAAATATATATCTTTGTACAACAAGTTGCTAGTTGTTTGGCACTATTCCCAAACCTATTTTGTTTGTCTGTACACTGAGTGTGCGCACAGACTGTAGGAAAAACCATGTATGTTGGCGATGTTAACGTTTGCAATGAATTGGCAAATATCGCCCTCTTGTGGTAAAAAGGGCAACAACACCTGTGAAATCTTGCTGAAGACGGATCTTTGTACTTTCCTGTTGGTTTAATGAATTTTAACACATCATAATAACCTTTAAAGCAGGCATGGATGCATTTATACACGGGTTTGATGCAAGTCAGAATGTTTGTGTCCGAAAGATGTAGCATATATGGAAGCTTGTTTGTGACAGAAAAAAAACCCCCAACAAAAACATTTTTGTTAACCATATATCAACATTTTTAAACTTGATATCGAGTAAATGACTTGAAACACTGAAAACACTATTGTTTTAGATGATAGAGTTAGTAGGTAGGGTTTGTGATGATAACCCAAAATTGCGAGATGGACACCTGGTGCCTTAAAGGAAGAAGTTCCACAAATGAATAAAATGTAACAATTAGCAATATAGCAATTATTGGTAAGCGAGGGTTATACTTTATTGACATATGGATGGCATTTTCTTTTATAGTGGCACAAACAAGCTTCCACAGACAAGTTTGAAGGGCTGCTTCTCCTCTCTGATCGAAGAAATAAGAAAAGCAGCTTTTACTGGGCCGCTCAGTGCATCACATTATGTTGGTATTAAGAGGAGATGTTAGGACTTGGTTGGGAACACATCTCTGTACTGATATGATGTGACATATGGAGGTACAGTAATGTTAAATCTGGTTTACAAAAAATGCAGTATACCAAAAGTTGGTGAATTCTGGATAGACTTCATTGCTATTTACAAGTGGGGAACTTAAAGTGACTCAATCTGTGAAAAGAACTGCTTACAACTCAAAGGCAACACAACTTGTAGTGATTACAAGTAAACTTTCATTATATAAAAGAAACTTCTGATCAGTCCACCAGCGTTGGCTCCATTTTCAATCTTTTGACTTCCATATTACCAAACTGGTGTGAGTGTGATGTGCTGCTGATAATAGCAGGAGTCCCTCTGAGCTGCTTTAAAATACAAAAAAGAAAACCTTCTTAGATTTTAGATGTCATACTGTTAAAGTAGCCAACGTTTCAGACACCAAGGCCAACGAATCAAATGTATAATTAGTATGTAAAAATAATCCCTGAAAAAACCCCAGCTAATCAGCCTTGGATCAGTATGACATCAGTGAGGGTTGATACTCACCTCAGGCACACCTGCCTTATGGTTCAGTCATACTAACAGGAATGGAAACCTCTCACTGGCTGCCAGACGATTGCATCTTTTTTTTTGCTGTCAATTGCAGGAAGTTGCAGCAACCAAATGGTCACCCAGAGGTTGGGCAATGAACATCCTCAACTTCAAATCAAACCCATTTGATTTCAAGGTCTGCACAAAAAATTGGAGGCAACCTTCCTGACTGACTGGAAGAGGTTTGCAAATAAGTGCAGTTTTATTTATAAATGCAGATGGATTACCATCTGGTTTCCAGCTGTATGTATTCTGGTTATATTCCTTTATAAAAGCCTGGTTGCTGAGCAACTATGTGATGTTGCAGTTAAATTGCCGTCCTGCAACAACTACGTCATTATTTGTGGAGGAATTTCTGCTTTAAATCTAAATCTTTGAGGTTCCGGCTGGACACTGAATGTAAGTAGTTAATGTCAATTAGAATTTCTGCTTATATAGACAGCAACAGGTTTGCAATGTTCATAGATTTATTATAATTAGTTGCCATCTTATCACAAATCTCAACCCTAAACTGACAGCAGGCTGACTCCGCCTTATTGCTGCCTAGATGAGCTAACATTGCTTTGAAGACGGCAACTGACTGTGAGTGGTTGCAGACCTGGTCTTCATCTTTAAAGCAACATTTCAAAGGAAACAGATCCCAAGTGCATTGGACACAGTCCGGATGACACAGTCATGCCACATTCTCAAGACGGGGACTGAAAATACTTGTTTCAGACAGAAGTAGATCTGCACGATTTGTAAAGCTACTCAAGCAGAATCTAGAATTAAAATATGGATGTGAAGTCAGAGAATAATAGACAGAGTTTACTGTTTTAAACTAAAGAAGACAATCTTTGGCTGACTCCACTCACACTGACACATTTACCATTAAAGCTGAAGTAGGCAGAAATAAAGAACAGTCCTCTCAAAATCAGGGGCTCTTTGTTTTAAGTCCAACCCAACAGAGTTCTTCTTAGAGCATAAAACATAAACCTGTGCTGAGCTTTGGCTTCATATTGGGTTTGAACCCCACTATCCCAGGTTAAAGTCTTCGGCATAGATCTTAATTTGTAGTCTTAAGAGCTTGAACAGAAGGTGACTGGACCATCGTGAACTGGACGACTGGGAACCTACACAGGCTTCTTAATTTATACTTAGCCTTACATACCGTAAGTGAGCGACACCAATGCCACTATTTCTATTTATTTGTGCTTAGCTTGCCTGTGCTGCTTAAAACACCACTCCTAGCACGATTTGATGGCAATGATCAGGGTTTTTTTGTTGTTGTTTGGTTTTGCAAACACTCATGTTTGGCCAAAGTCCCGCACTTTACTTTCTAAAACCTGAAAACCCAGAGGGGGAACAGGCGTATGTAAGGGTTTTTTTGTCTCCATTGATGGGAGAAACAAAAGCCGCCTGCTGCAGCTTTAAGGGCTGATTTATAGGTGAAAACCTTCTCGAAATGCCTTTTTTATGTACATTTTTTAGCTATTTAACCATTTTCAGGGGCACAGATTCAATGTGAAACATCCTAATTACATATTCAGGTATAATAATCGACATTTTAACCAAATTTACTGCAGATGCAATCACACTGAGCTTTTTGCCCTGCAGTGCTCATTGGGGAAACACACTTTGCGGGTGTTTGAGATCATTACTGAATGTTAAGCAGCTACACCACATTTGCAAAAGCAGCTTAGTGCAGGTTGCAGGAAAAAACAAACAAACGGAGTATGCCTGGTATGGTTTCTGTACACTGAGTGTCAGAAGATGCAGTTGTAGAAACAGGGTTTAAAATATGAATCCATCCTGTACATGTTTTTATTAGTGGATCCACCTTCAGGTAATCTCACTGATTTATTCTTCCTTCGTTTTTTTGTGTCTGAGAAGTTTGTGTCCTTCATTTCTTCTAGTTTTCATTCATACCCATGCTGAGTTCAAGAGGGGCCAAAAAATGTGGGAAATTCCAACTTCCAGCTTGGAAAACCCACAGCAGGACGGTTATGAGGTCAAGTGGGAATGTCAGGGAGAGACCTGTATTATTTACACCAGTAAGCGTCTCTTTAAGTGAATCTGGAACTTGACCGGTTGTTTCTCTCCTCTCCCTTCATCATACCATCGTCTCTGAGCCCGAACCTTTCCCAGTGAAGAAGTCCCAGAAATTAGTGATCGGCGACGGCTTGCTCTCCTCCTGCGGCGTCTGCCTCACCCAGATGCTGTTCTCGGTCGAGCCGCTCAGACTCGAGCTCAGAGAGAAGCTCAGCGCGGAGCTCAGACCCGGGCCTCGACGGTCCTGGGCATCCGAGTCCTGAGCGTTGAGCCTGGGGGTGGAGGACAAGGACGAGGAAGAGAAGGAGGACTGGGATAGGCTGAGCAGGTTGTGGTGGGAGTGGAACTGACGCATGTGGCGGATGGATTTACCAGGAGGGACCTCACCTGCAGAGAACAGGACACGGTTTCAGAACTTGAAAGACAAAAACTATTTATTATCTTAAAGTTGTGTAACATGAGTCATAGAGTGCTGTGAAAAGTATTTGCCCCCTTCCTTCCGGATTTCTTACATGTTTCAGATTGCCAAGCAAATTTAAGATAGAACAGGTTAAAAACAACTTCTGTGTCAGCATCGCCCACCGCCACTAGGGGGTGCTGTTGGCCCACTTATCGTTCCCACAAACGTCCACAACCTCCAGCAGCCAGAGTGTGGTCTGTGTTACATTACACTGCCTTCAGAGATGTTTTAACACATGGTGGTGAAACTGCAGAGCACTGTTTCAGGGTTTTCTAAAGACTCCTGTCTCAGGCAGGAAATTTACCTAAAAATCAACAACTGCTTGAAAAGACAAGTAAGCAGATGCTAAACTAACCAAGGATCACAGATGAAAACCTCAAAACCTTGCGTTGTGGTATCGTTCCTGCTCCTGTCATTAATCGAAATGTTTTAAATGTTGATTTTTTTTTTGAAAGAAACAACTTTAAATGAGAAATTCCTTCAGGTCTTCAGAGCCTCACATTCACAAAAACTCAAGCAGACCATAGTACCGTATCTGGTGTCCTGCCGCTTCCTGTTCTGGTTCAGTTTGAGGACGTTCAGGAAGACCTCGCTGGTCAGGCTGCCATCACCGCCGCTCCCATCCGGGGGGAAAAGCGGTGACGGGGGCTCCAGTGGGGACAGGCTGCCGCTGGAGGCTCCCACTGAGTCCAGAGACGCCCCCGTGTCCCTGCGACCCGTGGACTCGCTGCCGCTCTCCACCGTCAGGTGACTGCCGCTGTGACAGAGCAGAAACACGCACGTTAAACTGAAGCTTTCTTAGTGCAGACGAACATAACCGACACCAGATCTGATGACGGCTGATCCACTGACTGTCACGGTTACCTGAGTTTCCTACGCAGCAGGTAGTCGATGATGTCCGGGTCGGTCTGGATCAGACTCATCAGGACCTCCTGCTGCAGCTCTGCAGAGACCTGCAGGAACACACATCAGATTCAAGCATCGCTGAAAATAATTAGCATCTCCAGGACCGATGGAACATCACAGCTGTCTGGTGAGGGGGAGTCACACTGGGGGAAACGGACAGAGTCAGTCGATCCTGGACAAACTTGGACGATAATAAGGGTGGCCAGGGTCGCCAGGGCATGAATATTTAGTCTGACACTTTGAAACCACGAGCACTAAGTATAAGCTCTCATTTCAGATTAACAGTGTTAATGAGAGAGCCTCCTCTGCCCTGAGGGGCAGCCAATCAGAAGAAAGTGAACTTAGAGAAAGGGGAGGTCAGGTATAAGATAAATAAGGATTATTGTGAACTTTGCAAAGCTGCTCTAGTAGAGTCCAAGAATAAACACCCCAAGTTGGAAATGAGCGTAACATAATAAAAGATTTCTGAATCACTTCCACAAATGACTGAAAGAGCGCTGTGAGTTTCTAGTACCGTGAAGAGTCTCCTGTGGTTCTGTATGAGCATCAGTGTGACGCTGATGATCGCCGTGCTGTCCTCGATGCCCATCACCTGCGGGCTCACGTCTCCCCCACGCTCCTTCTGAAGCAGGTTCGGCCCGAAGATCACGGCCAGGTTAGCGGCCGTCATCTTGTTTCCGGGGATCTGGAGAGCAGAGGAAGAGGAGGCGGTGATGGAGGTCAAAGTGCAGATGGAATATGCTGTGGTAAATTAAGTTTGCGAAACGGGATCCTGTTGGATTTCTTTTTACATTACTGAGAACCAACAAGCAGCTGCAGCATAAATGTCAGGACAGCAATGAAGCAACACCAGAACATTCATGCAATGTATTTTTCTCCAGTATTTCACAAGAGCAAAACGGACAAAATGGACAGTTTTCCTGACTAAACATGCTTTTTCTGCATTTCATCTTGCTTGTCGACAGCTCCCAAAAGCATCTGGTAGAGGTGCAACTTACTGAGGGACTTACCTTAAAAACGCTGTGTTCACAAAGGCCAGTTAGTCAGAAATGTTTGCATTTGTAATGTGCTATCAGCCAAGACCCTAAGACAACATTAATAACATCTGCCAACCAAAAAAGAAGCTGAGGAATTATTCTGGCAGAGTTCTGACTCTCTCTCCACTAATTTTATGTCCTGGACAGCCAACAAAATCATTAACATGATTTTTCTTTAATAATATTATGGAGAAAATGTGGTTCTGTGACAGCCAGAAACAACACAGCTAGCCTTCAAATTTAGCAATTGTTTGTGAGGAACCGTGCAACTGTGGAAGATTAGACTCTGAGACCCCGCCCACATCTAAACGATACCTTTAGGCAGTGGAAAATACTACGACTACTACTACTCATAATATTAAGGTAATACTTTATAATAATGCCACACTGGTAAGCATTAGTAAAGTATTAGCAAGTGCTTAATTCACTGTACATGATTAGACTTTAAGATGTCATTTATAAATACAGATATGTGTATCAATCTGTTACTGTTACACCATGTACAGCTATGACTGTTACTTCATCACTGCCAGTAATACACATAATCATAATCACGATAAAATATCTTAATTTATAAATAGCATATGTGGGAGGAGTAATGCTATGTAAATGATGAAGTAAGCACTTGCTAATACCTTAATAATGTTTAATAGTGTGGCAATATCATAAAGTGCTACCAATAATAATAACAACATTTATGTGCATAATATTTATGAAACACACAAGAAATTTCAGTAGTTTAAAAATTAAAATCAGCTTTCCTCCAAAGAATAAATCACAAGCATAAAATCTGAATGTTAACATGGCGGTAAAATAAGAAGGTTAATGACACGGTCTAATATACAATGAGTTCCTCCACAACCAAGAACCCCCAACGACCACCTTCTGTCTTTGAACGTGGGAACAGTTACTGCACTGTGGTGCCAACTTTCTTTGTTTCTTTGCTCTGTTACGAGTGTTTTTTACTGGAAATGGATGGAATTCGATTAGGAAATGATATTATATTTATGTGCTTGAAGGACTGACACTGCCCTTCAGGGCGAATGCTTTCATTTTGTGTTTGTGTGGCTTCGACCTCGATGCCACTACTACGAGAGCTTCCAAAGGCTGAGGAAGACTTTATCAGTCATTGGTCCCACCTCCTCGTCGTTGGTTCCTATGCTGTCCTGTGCGAAGCTCTGCACGGTGTGTAACAAGGTGAGGAGACGCAGCAGTGTGTCGCAGTTACAGGGAGGCAGCAGGTAGAGGAGGTGCTGGAGGTACTGCAGCTGGTCTGCTCCTCTCAGAACTGCAGGAGGCCCAGAGAGGAGGAAGAGGAGCAGGAAGTTAGTTACCCATCACATCACTAATTATACTGAGACAAAAACTGAACTCAATCATTAAAGCCGGTGTGTGTTTTTGTGTGTGTCTGTATGTGTGTATTGGGGGGTGCATGCATACAATTGGCATGCAGGAAGGCGGGGTAGAGCTCTCTGGGCAGCAGAGGATCCGGCATGTCCCTCAGAAACTCTTTGAGCAGTGCTGCCACATCGTGGACACTGTGCTCCTCATCCAGCTGGACGTCAACGCCCACGTCAAAGTCCTCCCGTAGCTGAGGAGCGCGCACGCAAACACATATTAGTGTTTAAAAACAACAACGACAGTGCCTTCAAACTCATGTTCGGGTCACGACGGGGCCACGGTTCCCCGATGGACACATTTCTCAAAAACAGGATCTCACGCATCATCAGCTTTTCGCTCAAAGATTATTTTTATATTCGTGCATCCAGCTTAGACCGACAGGAAACACACGATGGTGAATCAGGGGACATGCAGACCTACACCACTCCTCTACTGCTGGCAATAATCCACGTTTTTTTTTTCAGGGAAAATGTGAATGAACGAGTTTCTGTATATTTTTTCCAGCTTTTTTCCTCAGTTATCAGCACATCAGGAGGTGTTGGACCCCAAATAAACAACAACAAAAACTCAGAATATTAATGGTATATTATTAGTGGAAAATAAAAATTATTTAAATTAATTTATTATTTTAATTAAATTAATTGGAATAATTATCCTAACCTGTCTCACTCTCTTCTTGGAGCTGCCGACTCGGAAGATACCCACAGTCTGAAGACCTGGAATACAAAATGTTACCACACACCATCTTTTAAAAATTTACATATGGATGGACTCAAATAAACAACACTGAAAGGCTGAAAATTTGGGGGACTTAAAGCCTCACCATAGGTCTCGATGTGACTGCAGCACCTCTCCAGCACCCGAGGCACCTGTCTGTAGATGGGGTTGAGGCTGAGCTTGGTTTGGGTCCTCCCCTCCGACGAGCTGCCACCCGGAGACTTGATCAATTCCAGTTCAGCCGGGTGGGAAAGCTGCAGCGCTTCAAGCAGGCGAGACTGACTCTCTACAAGGTCAGAGATCGAGTCCACTGATAGACCACCCTGTGGAGCAAAAAATGTTTATATATGCCTATAATATGTTCATAATTTAAAAAAAAAGTACAATATTTATTCTCTTTTTAGCTCAGTTTTTGGTCTCCACCGGTCCCTAAAGATGATAACTTCCTTTATAGCGCTTAAATATCTCATCATGTTCTCTAGCTGGTTGTGAAGTTTGACTGAGTGCTGTTTGGTGATAAGCTATGTAGCTCTTTGTGGGTTAGCTAGGGCTTTTTCCATTAAAACGACCGTGTGCTGCAATTGAAAGTGGTGTGAGTGATGTGTTGTTAGGTCACTAAAAATGAGCGAAAATGTTACAATCGGTGGTATTTCTTTGTCGATTTGTCACTATTAGCTATGACTTTCATCTCACATAGTCATTTGTACCACTGTTAACAGAACAAGGTCCAGATATGTAGGAAAATCCATAATTAATTACTAAACTCCAGTTTTACAAAGTAGCGTGTGAGGTCAAATGCTCCAGCACAGAAAACAACGAGGAAAGGCAGTGAAAAAAAGCAAGAGACACTGAAAGCTGAGGCAAATATGTATGAGGTGATAATGGGATGGAAAAAAGCTCACAACAGATGACAACGCAGGCTCGAGAGAGGAAAATGAGATGTGAGAAAGACAAAGGGACGCTGACGACAGAAAATGGAAAGTACATTTGAAGATGGATGGCAGGAGAAGAGGCCAGCAGAGGAGAAGAGTCAGCTCCTATCGCTTGTCTTGATGTTACCATGCAGTAAATGTCAGAGGAGCCGAATACCACAGAAATATAAATCACATGTCTATGGCCTGCAAATAGTTTCTGGAGGAACATCAAGAAATTCCTCACAGCTCAGTCCAGCAACATACTGCAGAAATGAGAAGATGTTTCCTCCATCTGAACATGACTCATTTGTGTTTTCTACAATAAATGTGCAGTTTGGCCTTATTTATGCAAAAATCAGTGAAAAGCCACCGTTATTTGCAAACTTACACTAGTTTATGCCATCATTTCCATGCTTTTTATTCATTATTTATGTAATCAACTGTGCAATACAATCTGATATGCACTGTTTCAACTTCCACTCCTAATTTTCTTCATTTCGGGGGTCTCAGCCAGTGTTTCCCAAATGGTGCGCTCTGGGGCAAATCCAGGTGTTCTATGGGATTTTGGGTGACCAACACATTAGCATCATAACTTCATAAAAAAGTAATGTGTTACCTTTATATTCACTATGTTCATACACATCGAATACTCTGACTGACAATTTGTGACAGGTGGAAACTGACAAGCCACAGCTGATAATGAGGGCAGACAACCACATATCCTGAGCAGGTGGGCAGGAGCCACCTGAGAAATTGGATCTGTTGTGGAGGGCCTTTATAAGTTAATTGGTGTGGCTCTCCACAACAGTCCCCCTGTCCTCCTAACTATCAGTCCTTGGAAATATTAATTGCCCAGCCCTGCTTATTGCTCCAGCCCTCAACAACAATCCCCATTATTCATGTGGCCCCTTAGAAATATTAAGTGCCCACCTTTTCACATTGATGTATCCCTTCACAACAGTCCCAGCTTCTCATCCTTTGATAAAACAAATGATCCAGTCCTACTTATTGGTGCGGCCCTCCACAACAGGCCCACTTTTTCCTACTTTCTGCAAATCAGGATCATCCAGAAGACTTCATGCATTTAGAAACTCTTAAATATTACTTAAGCTGACCTTTGTTGATCTAATGATTTGCTTCTTTCTAATCTTAACCTTCATCAGAAACACATTTTGAATATTAGCGAAAGTCTGCAAATGACCTGCTATGCCATGTCATTCTGTTTGAAATCCAGGATAGTTATCCACTTCATGTGCAGCTCGGTGTTTTGCACAGCTGTAATACTTATGTGAGAGAGACCATCCCCGTCTATCATCCATCATAACACTGTCTAATGCTGTCATCGTTGCTCCGGTACAAAATCAAATAATATTTCAAGGTGTCCTTACAGCAGGTTCTCTTGCACTGGTGACAACACCAGTGAGCTCCCGCTGCTTTATTATTCATGATAATATATTCATGATTCAAGATCTCCACATGTTTATTTCCTTAAACAAAGACCTGCAATGCTTTAGACATTTCCATTCCACCAGTAATCTTATTGGAAAATCAATATCCTTAACAAAAAAAGCATTCTTAGTATTTATGGTATGGCATAAAGTGGCACATTTATGCAAGATTACAAGGCTCAGAGTTGCCTGTTACTTGTTCTTTGCCTGTAAAATGCACTTGTATGTAGGGATGTATGTAGCTGTTCTATATGCCCACAGTTGCTCCAAAAGCTATATCAAAAGCCACTCAAAAACAGGCAATAAGAAGGAAATCAGCAGCTTGCTTCGCTGCAGAGAGATTTCCATACCAAGGCCTTTCCTGGTGACAAACACTGTGTTAGTAGATTTAGTGCCTGCTCCCACTGATCACTAATATATCTGACCTGAAGATGCAGCCTGTGATGACTGGAGGCAGATTTTCACAGAAATTATTCAAAACGTTTTATACAGAAATTGGTTTTTTTTATGTTACAATACAATCCATTCCCAGATTAGCAATAAATAACCATTTATCATCATCATCATCATTGTTTATTTATATAGCACCTTAAAAAAAACACCTGGTAGACCAAGAATATAACTATAAAGAGTAATATTAAAAGAACAATTTAACACAAAAAAATGCATGTTTCATAACGAGTAATGAAGATAATCATCAGAATCACATTAAAGTCTCATTTCTATCAAATGTTACCACTGAGGCAGCGCTGTGTCTGCTGTTTACCTCAATGACCGACTCTTATCGCCTGCACTCGATAGCTGGTTCAGATTCGATTACAGTTATATGGCTGTAATCATACTCATTACAAGCTTTACATAACCACTGGTTCCAGATCGGCATGAAAAGAAATTACAGAGTGTAATGGCCTCTAGCAGAGACGGGTTCACGCACACACACAAACACACAGAAATGTAGGTGCACACACCACTTTTACTACAAACGTACTGCTGTGGAAATATTTAAAAAAAGCTAGAAATGCACTCAGAGATTAGTGTGGAGGCCTTGAGTACAGCACATACATGTAATCCTCACGGTGAATGAGACTAAATCTGGCAGAAAGAAACACATGTCCACTGTTTTTGTGCGTGTGTTGTCACTCAAAGAAATCTTACCCTTCTCTGTCCTCGTCCGGTGTTATCCAGAAACGTGGGTGACAGCGGTTTGTTCTGAGGGTCAGAAATTGGCGCCGGTGCCACAGAGTTAGCAGACGGCGAGCCCGGACCTCCTCCTGTGATGGACGAGGAGCTGACCAGAGGTCTGCTCCCATTGAAGAACTGACGCTTCTCCGCCCTGAATCGCAGGACGCTCGCCTCCAGGTCGAGGCAGTCGCGCCTGCTCTCCTTCAGAGCATCCTGCCGCCGCTTGTAGGCCCGGTCGTTGGCGATGACCTGGGAGAGCGGGATACCAAAGGCCTTGGGAGCCGATTCTGAGGAAAGAGGAGAAAATTTTATTTTCTTGCCAGCAATGATGAACACATAAAAGCAACAGAGAAAACAAGGATGAAGTAGAAAGAAGAAAACAAACATATTGCCCAGAATATCCAAATAGACGATATGGATGAAAAATAGGGAAATAATATTAGTGCTATTTATTTTATGCCTTATTTAAGTGTTAAATATTATTATATCACTCTTCCTCACTTGAACACATTCTTTTTGTACTAAATAAAGCTAAAACAAATTCTAAACTGTCTTGAAACGTGATTAAAATGTATAAGAACAGCATCTGTCTGATTTACTGTTTGTTCCCCTGTACAAACAGAACTGCAGAGAAATACATCTGAATGCGCTAACATTGTAACTCATATTTGGAGCAGAACTGGAGCCTCCAGCGAGTTAATTTATTTATAGTACACATTCTTGTCTGCTGATAGTATCTGAGATCCAAACAGGAAGATGATGTGACTTTCATCATTAGGGCGAACAACAGAAGCCTGGTTTCTGCAACATTTGCACCAGTGTTGTGCGATGCTGTGAAACAACAAATGAACACGAAAATGGATCTAAAATATGGGATGTTTTCAGATATTGAAACAAAAGCAAAATTCCTTGGTTAGGGGATAATAAATATCCCTAACCAATTGGCTGTTTTGGAAAGCTGAGCTGCATCTGAGATTCTAGATTGCAAAGATAGGGTCGATATACACATTCGGGTATCTTAAAGTTTTCACAGAACTCTGTGCGCTTCTGTGAAAACCAAATATACCCTTGGTGTTACAGTGCCCCTATAAAAGCATTTACTTTGGTTAACACAACCTTCCCAGGAGTGTACGTTCCAGCAAACTCGCCCTGGGGTCGGAAGGTGCTCAAACAAACCCTCCAAAAATCCAAAAGCTACATCTCAAACTCTACAGGTCTCTGTTAGCATGTTAAATATGTAGGTTTATGGCAGTACACTTAGAAAAAGACTGAACAAGTGCAACTTGTTTGGTTTCCAGGAGAAAACTTCTCTCTAAAAATGTCTTTAAAGATTAGGTTTAAAACTTTCCTTTAGATAAAGTACATAGTTGGGACTGGATCAGGTGATCAGGCTCAGGGTGTTGGGGGCTTCCCATGATGCACTGAGTATTAGGGCTAGGGATGGGTACCGGTGTTCTGACATAAACGGTAGTAACCAGACCAAAAAGCAGCGCACATTTCGGTGCTTTATTTCGGTGCTTTTTTTTCCTGAGCTGTGATACACTTCTAGCCAATCATTTTACGTTTCCCAGGATAGTAGGCGGGGCCAGGCACGTACGTTCAGTTAGAGCAGAGCTACAGATTAAAAATGTCCAAGGCGAAGCGGTCAAAAGTCTGGTTGTACTTCACAGCAAAATATGCAAACTCAGCAGCCTGCAACAAGTGCTTTAAGCTGATACTGTGATACTGTCAAAGGAGGTAACTCCTCAAATCCGATGAAACACCTGGCGACGCATAGCGTTTTTTTTTTAAAAGCCGAGAAATGCGCCGTATTTGATAGCTTGCTGCGAGACCTCACACTGTGCACGTCGGGTGGGTTGCCAGTTATCGGACCCGGAGCAACATCCCCCAAAAACCCGAAGAATAGAGTCCTGGCCCCTAGCCCTGCCAGTGTAGCAGAAATGATGAGGATATTGATGCAGCAGCAGCCGTTCTTCTCTGCGTGAGTCGCTTAATGTTGTTAGAGTGTAACTTACGTTGAGTAGGCTAACCACGTTATTACGTTAATGCATGTAAGGTGAACTAGCAAACATCATCATAGTTACATGCGGCTGTCTTCTTGTTTGATGGCAGATACTCCCTTCACCCTGGCCAAAAAGGCTAAAATGACCAAAGAAAAAGTGGAAAACAGCTGAACATGAGAGGTTTTGGACAAAGTTTGTGTTTTTTTTCCATTGATTAAGCACTGCTTCCAGCCAAGAGTGATACCATATATGCCCCATAGCTGCAGAAAAGGCATTGTTATCTTTTTACAAAAAAAACAAACAAACAGCTGAACATGAGAGGTTTTTGGACAAAGTTTGTGTTCTCCATTCTTTAAGCACCGGTTCGAGCACCGTTTAAGCACCGGCACCGTTTCAAAAGTACCGATTTGGCACCGGTATCGGATAAAACCTAAATGATACCCATCCCTAATTAGGGCTGTTCGATATAACGATATATATCGGCTGACGATATAAAAACATCTATCGTTTCATTTTACGCTATCGTTTGTTTCGTGGTGTTGCAAAATAAACTGTTTACTGCAACATTTTTTCCATCGTTTTGATGGTCACTGCAGTGGCTATATTAATTTCTTAAAGTTCTCTCTTTCTCTTATATTTAATATAACCACACTACGGACGGACAAGCGTCTGTGTTTATGCGTTGTTGTTAGCAACAACAACGGTAAAACCACCGCGTATCTGCTTCTTTATTTTTCACACAAACCTTTCACAATAAAGTTCAAGATCCTGTTGAGACTTTTCAAAATAAACTGAATCACGTGAAAGATGCAGAGTATTTACGGATGAGAAGCAAAAAAGAGCCGTCAGGTGCTAAAAAATAAACCTTAGACTGAAACTTTAGAACAGGCAAACTGCAGCACGCCGTGTAATAAATACTCACAAAGAAAACGGCGGCTGTTACAACTTATGTCTAAAAATGTATAGTTTCATGCATCTGTTAAAACGCTCAACTCCAGCTACATGACGCGCAGCTGGAAACACTTCACGCAAGTTGAGCTGCCCGAGATTCACAGAATTTACAGAAAATGTTACATTTTTGTGATTTATATCGATATCGGACGATAGATGATTTAATATCGGGATATGAGATTTTGGTCATATTGCACAGCCCTACTAAGTATTTCTTCTTCACTCACTATTTGTTTACACAGCAGTCTGCCACAGGCCGCGGGCACCTTGTAATTGTTTATTCAGCCATGAACTTCTCAGCATACCAAAGTATTCTAGAGCCAAATATGAGCCCATCTGTCTGGCAGCTAAAAGTTGGCTGAAACTGAATCATACAACAGTACAATGATCCCAGGCACAACAGCCAATCTACAACAGAATGGCTGAAAAAGTAAAGAAAGACCTTAAATGCATGCATGTAAACTTCAATGAACCGAAGCAACGCTGTAAAGAAGAAAAAAAAATCCTCCACAACGACGTGAGAGACTCACAAACTGAAACGGAAATGATTCCTTCAAGTTATTGCTGTTAAAGGCGCCTCTACAAGCTGCTGAATCGCTGGGGTGTACTTTTCACAGGAGTGTATGTGTTACTTTAAAAGTTTGAGATGGGCCTGTCTAATGTATGGGAGAGCAAATATGTTTGCCGGTGCTGCAGTCATAGTAGCCAACGAATCACAAGGCAAGCTGATAATATACAGCAGAGAGATGGACGTACATCCCAGGTCTGAAAAGTAAAGCCAGTTTACTTGCAGAAACACTTCTGGTTATCTAGAAGTCAGCGGGAAAATAAAAATACTGAAAGGAGGATGATCCAGCTCATTGGCTGATGAGTTGAACTAACTCACTAACTGATAAAGTGGTCAGCCAAAAACATCATCTCAGGGATATAATGGGATTTCGCAAACCTCGGTGATGTCATTGTGGCAATGTCCATCTATTATACTGTTAATGACGCTGACAAAGCTCTGATTAGCAAATAGCATGAACCAAGTTCCATGTTAGTGACTGATATTCATTCACACACAACAGGGTAAACAATCACTGTCATGATCAACTTCACTTTGATGTCAAATGAAACAACCTCACTCTCTCAGTATATTCCCATAACATGATGTGATGGGCTATCGGCACAAACAACACACGTAAATCGAAGCAACACTCATTACAATGGTCTGTGAATACACAACCAATGCAGATGTTCTTGTGTGCAGTCCTCCAAAAGACAAGACTTGTAGCCTCAGATCTAGTACTGCATTTGTGTAGGTACAATACTAGTTGATTGAAAAGTTAGACAAAAGTTGCTGCAGAAACATGAAAGAGAAGGACAGCATAGATGGCCTGAACTGAAATAATCAAACATTTTCTGTCTTCTCCAGTGCACAGGATAGGCTAAAGCCCCAACATCAGCACAAACACCAAGAAGGCCTGTTTCCCTCTTATTACACTACATAGGAGTGACATGTAGAGCAGGGGTGGGCAACTCCAGGCCTCAAGGACCGGTTTTAGTTGTGTCCTTGATCCAACACAGCTGATTTAAATGGCTAAATTAACTCACCAACATGTCTTGAAGTTCTCCAGAGGCCTGGTAATGAACTAGTCATTTGATTCAGGTGTGCTGACCCAGGGTGAGATCTAAAACCTGCAGGACACCGGCCCTCGAGGGCTGGAGTTCCCCACCCCTGATGCAGGTATTGTGTGTGCCATGCCTTTAGTGCTCGATGCAGATCTTTATTAAAATGCACAGTTGTTATTAACAAAACACTGAGGGAACTCAGGAGTGTGAGAACCTGGAGGAGCAGAGATTACAGGGATGCTTACAGCAGTGCAGAGATAATGACTGATAAATCGAATCAAGGCAACTAAAGGGTCTGTTTATAGGCGATGATGAAATGAACTTGTTAGCCTGTGAACGCCGTAATCGCACAGCTCCTCGCACAACGGATAAGAGGTTTAAGTAGACAAGCGGTGTAAGAATAGACAGAATGTTGGGAGCAGGATAATCCTGTTAGAGCAGCCACACAGCAGACATCAAACTCAGACTGATACGGGCTTACAGCAGACACGCTCACGCAGGTAAACACGGTACGAGTGAGGTCACTGTCGTCAGTTTCCTCCTCGACATATCAGCTCCAAATGTAAATGTCTCACTATGCTACATCAGTCCACTCCCGAGGTTAAGCATAGACTGTTTATCTGGCACCCACCTTAGTGAAGGCCCAGTTAGACATTCAGTCTGGTGACTCTTTGATCAGGATCAAAAAGTGATAAAGCCAAAATGTAGTTGTTATTTCA